AATACTAATAAAATCGAGCTAAAGTCAATTAATGTTTGCTAAGAAAAGGGATTGCAACTTTATTGAATCTCCTTACCATGGCCAGATTGGTGATGGGGTCATCAACAAGAGTGAACTCGAAGTTGACAGAGATTTTTTTTAAGCTGAGCCTTAATATCCTAGCCTGAGGGTTCTCGAGGGTGGAAAAAGAGGCCTCCACCCATGGCTTTTTGGTGAGAGGAGGAAGTGTTGGTGCCAACATTGAGACAAAACTTGGCTAGCCCTTGTTTTTATTTTTTGACCTATGGGAGAGCGATACAGTGAGGTATTAACCACCTTGTCTCCCTCACAAGACAAGCCCCAAGTTGAATTTTTTTTACCCCTCTTAAGCCTGGAAGTATGATGGTACAACTTGAAGTCAAAGTTATCCTCACTAGCCATCTTTATAAAATCGAGCTAATAGTTAGATTAAAAATCAAGTTAAAAAAAATGTTATTAGCTCGTGGGCATCAATGATAACCTCCTCCTACGAGTATATTCTAAAATTTTATCCTGATCTAATAGATCTAGGATAGAGAGGGCCACTGGTGTATTTATGAAAGTGTCAAACGCACTCTTTATTTCCTAAGTCTTAACCTCAAGAGTAGCCTCGACTCCGAGCTCACCATCTTTATTTATTTTTTGCTTTTCAAAGTAAAAGAGAGCAACTTTCAATTTTTATTGAGTTCAAACAAATGACAAGTAATTTATTATTGGATCGAGCTGTTATGTAGTACCATCTACTATCATTGGGATGTTTTTAAGAGAAAAAAATTTCTTAAATAGAAAGAGAGAATGATGAATGTTTAAGTATTGACAAAGAATAATGAAGGTAATTATGTATCGTATAAAGTTAGGAGTGAGTTGGATGATAGTCAAATTGTAATAATTAAAAATTAAAACAAATAAAGATAAAGTGAAAACCTCAGATCAACCATGAAGGAATCTTAAATCCCATAGAGACAATATGGCTCTAGCTTATCAGTGACCTAATTTGAGGAGTTTGGCATTATCATACTATACCCCTCTCTAAAAAAAAGTTATAGCCAGAGCATAGATGTGATAAACTAAATATATGTTGGGATAGTTTTCAGATTTGCCCTACCTTTTGGTTCACTCATCATGTTCTTAAGGCTCAGGCTGAGGTCATAAGTAGTATACATAAAAACCTTAACTAATTTGTCTTAGGTTCTCTTCTCTACCGTTATTTTTCTCAATTGAGGTATTTATTTCCTCTTTTTTTTTTTCAAAATTTTTTTAATCAAAATCTTCACTGTCAGAAGACTCTAACTCTTGAATATGAGCAAAATTTCAAAGTGAAATAGTTGCAAAAGGTTACTTAATTTAAGAGAAAGAAGGATGAGGTAGAGACCTTTCAAGAAAAGGAAAGATCTCAACAAGAATCAACTAAGAGGGAATAAAAGTGATAATAGCAGCATCAATACAAGGATAACAAAAGATAAAAAAAAAGAAAATTGATGAGATTGAACCCTAGAAGAGGGAACAACTTAGGACAAATGAAGGTCAGCCATAGAAAATGAACTGACTTGAAAGATAGGGAAAGGTGATGGATTTATAGGTCAAAGTCAATTTGAGCACACAACTCTTCTGTATTTAAGACCCACTCTCCTCTTGCCCTAGTATTATTTTCGTTTTATCGCTACCCTTTCTTAGACATCGAATTGAACCAATAGGTTATCTCTTGTAATTATAGCCTCAAATAATCTGTGGGATCAGATCGTTATCTTACTACCCATACTGACCTTCTCTAGATTCTACCCAGTAACTTCTGGCCTCTCAAAAACTCATATTACAAGACATGGTTAAAAATACGTACCAAAAAAGGTGTGAAAAATCTATAAAGGTTGAAAAGCTTTTGAGATCAGAGAATTTAGGTTAGATTAAAAACAAAGAAAGTAGAAAGGTAAAAAATTGAAGCCCTAATAGCTCTTTATATAGATGTACCATAGATCAAATAGATGACACAAACCATGTTATGTATTAGAGCAAAGGTAAAAAGACATATTTTCATCTCTTCGGTTTAAAATTTTTCACTTAAATTACCTCTATCCTCATTTAATACTATCAAACCGGCCTAATTAGATGAACCTCAGGTTGGATCGACTAAACAAATAACTTTTTTGGGCAAAATTGAAAGCTCGATTCATCGTCAGAGTCTAAAATAAAGGCTCAAATCTAAGTTTTTGAAATAAAATATAAGTCTCATTACAGCCAAACAAATTCCAGCACTCATCTTAAATTATTGCGAACAATTATCACCTCGATAACCTTTAAGTCGATTATGCATTCAACCTAGGACACATGCCCCAGATCAGACAACCATAAGGTCGGACCACGGCTTAAGGCTAGCCATCCCCTAAGACTAACCTCCCTTTATAACATTAGCTTCAAATAATTGAACTTCCAGGTCATTCTCTTTTACTCATTTGCCCTATACTAGGGGTGTCGATCACACCTTTAATAATCTGATACTCAAACTGCTTAGTAGGGAGACAAAATGTTATGGGCATTTGATGATAAAAAAGGTATAGTGGTTTTTTTTCCCTATAAAGCCTCCAACAAATAATCAGGGATATTTTTGTTGTTTATGCCGACCTGACCTAACATGTTCAGTGCCATATTAGCTCATTACTGTCCTTATTGTCCCATGACGATCTCCTACAGTTTACTTATAAATATAAAAATCCAAGCATCATCAAAAGAGGTCCATTCCACTCATTTTCTCTCTTTACTATTTTCTTTTCAACCTAAATCTTTTTAATTTACGTATCAAAATGCAAACACAAAAAACATATTTTTTTTTACCTATAACTACCTTTCTCTTCTGCATTTTCAAGAACATCCCGAAATTGGAGTCGGTACAAACACTTGGTATGTTATAGTTTTGAAAATGTAACTTTTTCATAAATATTATATTTTCACAAAACATGGTAACGTGATCATTCACCTAAAGTGGGGTAAGAAAGTTACTTTCCCATGTTATGAGAAAGTAAAATAATAATTTTTTAGGATTTTAATCAACACTTTTTAATATATTTCAAATTTTATATTGTTATCTTTTCAACAATTTAATTTCCAACAGTCATTCACAAGGACCATCACGTTCCAATGAAATCGTGATATGAGAAGGCACCAAAACATTCTAACAATTGATGTGAATTTTTGCATTGAAAAGGTAACAATGTGAGCTTTTACTATTGACTATTGAATGATTTGGAAGATTATCAGCATTGGCCGTTGCAACTATTGTTCTAGAGTGGTACATAGGAAATTTAATTATTGAAAAAAAAAAAAAGGCATGCACTATAGAATAGACTTCAGTGGTTAGTCAATAAAAGCAGTTGGACACTTTATTTACAGTCACAGTAGTCAACAAAGCGGCTCCAAACTCTAAACTTTACTTTCTAATAAAGTTGTTAATTAGTGCAAAAGCTTATGTTCAACTTTTTATCTTGAACTTAGATCCTCAGCCTTTCATTCCCCCCCTACTTGTAAAGATAATTAATGATGCATTTACTTTGGCTGGTTCAAAACAAAGCGCAATCTCTAATGCGATGAAAATCTTTCGGTCTCAAATAGACCTTTTAGCTATGCCAGCTCATCCATAATCTCTATTAACTTCCAAAAGTCTCTAATTTAATGAAAGGTAAAAGAAAACTTTTGATTAAGAAAATTTCTTTTGGTTGAGAAAGGTGTGGCCTCACAATGTCTTTGTCGTTGAAACATTCACCTCAAGCAATAGGGAAGTAATCAGAGCATAGCCTGACTTTAAATTGATGATCAGAGACATAAAGACAACAGATAGGGTGTGGCGGCAATACGTCGCCCGTCAAAAATTCCAAGTGCCACGTTAGAAAGCTAAAAGTGGGTGAAATTCTGGTGTCTCTCTTGGCTTTATTAGGATGACTCAGATCTGATATGGAGATAGCGAGAGGCCCTACCATGTGAAACCCACACATCTGGTTTCTTCAGAGAATCTTGAACCCATCATTTTTATGCTTTTTATCAGTTTTGTGATTTTATCGTTGTCCTTCAAACATGTGACATCAACGATATGTTGCTTTTTTAACCCACATTGATACCTCTCATTCTCAGTCTCAGGGCTCGTAGAGATTGTCCATGGCGGCCATGATCTTGATTCTGGAGGAATATCGAGCGCCGCTACAAATCTAAAATGCTAGCTAGGTTTAGGCCAAGACAAAGAAAAAGTGCAAATGCTGGTGCTTTGGTTTGGGTTGTATACGTCACATTATATATCCTCCTGCAGGACCGAGATAGCTTTTGCGAATCATTTCAGAAGACTCAGGCTCCTGCTTCCTTTCTTTCTTTTGTATAGGATAAGATTCGACCTGATAAAACCCAAAATCAGTTGCAAAGTCGTTTCACTAAGATGACATTTGACATGAGATGATCACTTTAAACATCACAATCTGATATATGTATATCATTTTGATTGGTAATAATTTGGGATAATAATTTGAGAATTTTAGTTGATAATGATCTTAAATTACTAAGCGATAAAATCATTATATTGAAGAGTGATATGATTTTATCAAATTTTTTTTTTTAATTTTATCATAATAGAAAAGTAACTTTTAATATTATATTTTGATTAACTTATTCTAATAATACTGACAATAAACATATATTTTCCTTCAAATTTAATCCTCCCTTATAATACTTTTATTACAAGAGAAGAGCATTAATCATAAAATCATTAATTTTATTTATAGGTTAAAATTATCTTTTTTTAATTTTACATAATTTAAATTATTGATTTAAATTTTAAAAGTATAAAACAATATAAGTTTAATTCCCTGATAAAAATAATTTTTTTAATTTTTTGATAATTAAATCATTTTATAATAAGAGTATGATTAATCTTTTTTGTAATTTTATTTTTTTAGATATATACAAATAAAATATAATAAAATATTATTATTATTATTTTATCTCATCCATTATCTTATACAGCAACTATGACTTTGATACAGAATGATCATATTATTAATCAACTCAGTTGTATAATGATGCCATTCCTTCACATACCCTGATTGATCATGAGCCGTCCACCAGATTTCTCTAAAATTCTCATCATCAGTGGTACGGACTCATGAACATTACTTATATATATACTACTCCACATTATGGTAAAAATTAACTAATTAAAAAAAAAACTATAGAAAACTAGTAAAACGTGAAAACATTCATGACTAGGAAATGCAACAAGCGTTGGGATTTTCGTCACTGAAAAGCTGAGGAGCAGGAGGCATTCGCTCGATAATGTAAAGGGGCTGGTAGTAGTGGATCATTTTCTTCATCGATTCCTCCTCATTGTTACTGCTATCGTTCTCTTCTGTTGCTTCTTTCTTTTCCTCTTCCTTCCCTTCTTTGTTTTCAGCTTCTTTATTACCTTCGTCTTTCTTGGCTTCTTCGGGTGGTTTTTCTTCTTCTTTTTTCCCTGCGTTTTCTTCAGGTTTGGCTTCTTCAGCTGGCTTCTCTTCGCCCTTCTTTTTCTCTTCTTGCTTCTCGGGTTCAGGTTGAGCTGGCACGATCCTCGCCTGCTTTTTGGTGCGTCTATACACATAGTCCACTAGCTTGTTTGCATCCATGGTGCCCGTCACTGTAACTTTCCCTGTGGTATGCTCGGTTACTGCACTTTGTACGCCTGTAGCAATTAATAAACATGAATTATAACTTCCAAAAGCATGCAAAAATAATTACTTGACAAGTCGGAAAGGCCCCAACGCCATTATCGCGGCCTATGTCAGATTCCTTTCCTGTTTCCTTTTTTAGTTTCTCATGCAGTTGGTCAATCACTCTCAACAATTATCGTCTTGCTTCTTGTTAGCTAAGGGGCCTACTATTTTGCTACAGATTCACTGAATAAATTTAACATTATTACATTACCCAAAGGGTAGTACTATTCTTAAATTGGCATGAACCTTAACCAAACTAAGTTTTCATTGGACGATGATTCTAATAATGCAATTACATGCCACAGCTTAACCAACCTCTCATTTTTAGTATCTTTCTCTTCAGTTGCTCAGCACAGGCTTGGCAATGCATGTCTACGTTGAGCTCCACAGTTGCTAATCCACTAACCTGGAATGATTAACCCAAACAATACCATTAAAACTTCTATGAAACGATTTTTTTAATTAATTGGAATTTCATCTGTTTTCTTGGGTGAAATTAGGAGGTGCTGAATGAGACCTGTGAAGAGACAACTTCTGGCATAGGTTCACCCTCAGCTGCAGGCAAGGGGGACAGGACTCTAGCTCTTCTTTTGGTTTTCTTCATGATTTTAGCGCATATTGCTTGGGGTTCGATAATTCCCTTTATCGTCACTTGGTTTTGAGCCATATCGATCGCAACTCCTTCCACACCTGTTAGCGAACGACCAACCATTTGAATAGATATATTTTAATTGTTACAAAATGGATTAATAGCTATTAAGTAAGAGAAAGAAAATTACCTCTAATCTTCTTGACTGATTTCTCAATCTTCTTTGCACATCCCACACAATGCAAGTCCACAAACAAGACGAAAGGAGGAGGTGGCGGTGGTGGTTCCTCCTTCTTTTCTTCCGCTGGCTTCTCCTCTGCCTTCTCTTCCTTTTTCTCCTCTGGCGGGGCTTGTTCCTGTTTAACATTGATCACAACAAATGTCAACCTAATTACTCCAAAAAAAAAAATCTATATTGAATCATAAAATTATCACATTATAGAAATCAACAGAACTAAATTACTAGGCTGCATGCAAACTGTTTCCCTTTCTTTAACAAATTAAGCCCTCACCTGCTTAGCTTCCTCATCCATTTAATTCCTCTATGAATATTAACTTAATCAATTAAGAAAGATTGTGGCGAAGAAGCAGAAGGGAGAGGAATGGTATTTACTCAACGAGTAGTAGAGTAGTTTTTATATAGAAGAGAGCGAGATGGTAATGGGATGGATGGTGGCGTTAATAGCATAGAAAGTGCAAACTATGCGAATCCACAGCACATGTGGTGCCACTAAGTGTACAAAGAAAACCTCTTAGTTTAATATTTCTTTTTGGAAATGTTTCCAATCTCCAAGACTGAAGTAGTGGCAGATTTATAGAGAAGATTGGGGAGCTGAATTGGAAGTTGTTGGGATGACTACTGTTGGTGAAAGTGGCTAAAGCAAAGGATAGAGAGATCGAGATGTGAAAAGAAAACCGAATTGACAATGATAATAATACTTCCATTCCATCATCCACACCGACTTTCGGTGGAATTTTCAATTTCCTGAGGAGGTGACTTGTCAGACATGCGGACAACCTGGATACCCCATGCCTTCAAAATGAGGTTTGAAACATGATTTTATCTTGCCTTCCACCTACTGATTAGGAAAAATGCCCATAGTTTTAATTAATATATTAACTCCATCTATTTGGTATGTTGGGGTCATTATCTTTCGTCAGATGATCCATATGGTCTGTTTCTTGTTTTGTCTAAGAAAATGGTTTTTTTTTTCAATTTTTTTTGTAAAACCTTTTCTTTTTTAGAAAGATTTTTGATAAATTATTGATCTCCTAAAAATTTTTGTAAATGCTTTTTATCTTTCAGCAGTTTAAAAAAATCTCTAATTTTGACTATAATATGATATTGTAAAATAAGACCATTTGAAGATAAATTTAGTCCTAAAAATTTTATTTCAGTTTTTTCAAGCTCTATCTTTTTAGAGCTTATAATTATTCCATGTTTAATAAATTCTTGAGAAATCAAATTTAGGTGTTTTCTATATTGTTCTAAATTTGAAAAAAAAAAAAGAAAAATATCGTCAATATAAACACAGCAAAAATCTTTATATTTTTTCAAAATAGAATCTATCCATCTTTGAAAATTTTAAGATGCATTACAGAGATCAAAGGGTATTACCTTTCATTGATATCGTCCTTTTGGAGCACTAAATGCAGTTAATAATTTTGTAAAAGTTCAAAAATTTGAATATCAAATTTATATATATCTTGTTTAGTATAAATCATGAGTTTGACTCTAATGATTTTATTATAATCAAGCATTTGTAAACTACAATATCTAAGATTTCTAAACAATAATTTTAGTAGTTTTTCACAAAAACTTTCTTCTAAAATTTTAAATAACCAATTTGTTTCATTGATTGTTTTGATTTCAGCTCTGTTAACTTCAAGCTGAAAATTTGAATCACAAATATATTTATGATTTTTGACTAATGGTATTTTTATAGATTCTTTATCTATAGTAAGACTAATATGAAAAGGATTTAAACATAAAGGTCAATAGTTGTATAAAAAATTTTTTCCTTATAACATATCTCTATACATCAAAGAAAAATATAAAATTTTTGGAATTATGAATTTTTTGTTCATAGATATATAAAAACATTTTTAGCTTTAAAACCAATAATAGACTGCTTTATTTTTATATTTGTCTCATTTGTGTCAAATTTGGATGCTTCATTTTACATTGTTATTCCATAGTATCTCCCTTGTAAGTTTGAAATAATATATAGTTTTGATTATTTTTTGAGTGACACATGGTTTTATAGTTTTGCTTACAAATGAATCATAAATAAAAGTAATTGCCATCTTGGAGAAAAAAAAAAGGTTGGGATGGATGAAACGTCGTGGGGATCCCAAAAATGTATTTAGTTTTTGCGTGTTAAGATCTATATGTGTTAGAAAGTTTATGTCACATGGAATGCTGACCTTGAAATTGCAAAGCTTCATCTTCCTTTTTCTTTTCTTTCCTTTTTTTAGATTTTCAAAAGGCTTTTTTAATAAAAGATGTTGAAACTTGTAATAAAAGAAGGGATCGGAAGTACTTAGACATTTTGTTCTCTTTTTGCCATTTACTTCTTTGCTCCCAAAGCAGCCCCAAAGAACAAGCTACTTTCTCCCCCTATGTATTTTTCGCAACCTTACCAACCTCTTACCTACAAAGGGGAGATTGATCTGGTGTGTCTCTCCTTCCATCAATTAAGAAACCAAACGCCTAAAAGGCTCTAGCTCCTTGAAGGTGACTCAAAAGCCTATACCTGCCATACTGGTTTGGTCTTCCAAATTTGATAGAGAAAAAAAAAAATACTTTGAACCAAAAGGTTGGACAGATTTTTCATCAATGTAGTAAGGGAAGGCCCAAATTACGTTTGTGGTAACACGTTGGAATGACTCAGCAATATAGGGACACCCAAAACACTAGTGAAATTCGAGAATTTGAGAGTATTAAGCTAACCCATATTTTAGCTTTTTAACGCAAATTAATTTTTAGCTTTGATGATCAAATTTAATATCTAACAGTTTTAAACATATTATTATAATTTTGACGAAATTCATTTTAAAATTAAAAATATGATTGTAAAGTTGTTATAAAAATTAAAAGTATGATTTAAAATTATATGAGTTAAAAAATTAATGATAAATTGGAGAATACTTAAGTTAACCCACAATTTAGCTTTTTAAGGCAAAAGCAATTCCATCAAATAACTTATCTTGTAATTGATGCATTATTTTTTAAAAAACTTCTCTTATCTTATTACATATTTAATTAAAAATGATACTACATTTTTAAACTCTTTCAAATTCGTAAACTTTAAGTACTAACTTCATTAATATGTTAATTGATTTAAGGAATAGTCTGTATTAATGCATTAATGTTCAACAATAGAAAAAAAAATTGTGTAGCTAAAAAGAAGGGAAGGCCAGGACAATTGAGGTTGACACCATTGCAATTTCTTTTTCCTTTTCAACAAATTAAAGGAAAAAAAAAAAAAGCACTAATTGAGAATAATTTGAACTTTAAGGGATATGTCGATTAAGGAGGTGTTAGTTGTCCCAACCAATGTTAGAATGGGCGGTGAGTAGAATGGTTGATTGATTAAGAAAGCAATCATTCTCAACCAGCCTTTTTTTTTTTTTTCCATATCCATGGTTCTAAATTCCAATACTATTTATATCTTCATAATTGCATGAGCACATTCTTTTTTCTAATTAAATCATCATCACCATATTATCCAAACACATGTCGTACTTCTATTGGTGATGCCAAAAGTTTAATTTCATGGTATCATCCTTAGCTTCTCATATATTCTAGTAAAATTTTCTCTCGGCTCAATTAAAAGAACATTTAGACTCTGATTTGGGAAAATATTTTTATTTTTATTTACAAAATAATTTTTATTTTTTGTTTTTAAAAAATATATTTGATAAATAAAAATAAAATATTCAGTAATATTAGTATTAATGATATTTAATTATAAATATAATATATTTATTAATTAATGACATTTAAAATTTTCAAATTCTATAATTTACAAAACACAACAAGAAAACAAAATACATTTTTTATTTTCTCAATTGAAAATATTTTTTATTTTCATATTTCTAACTATTTTTTAAATTTTATTTCATTTTTAATATACGTTGTTACTCATATTTTTTATTTTTTTAAAAAATAAAAATAAAAATAAAATAAAACATAGGTATGTTTTTTTAAAACCAGACACTATTTTAAATTTTGCACATAATAAGTGAGTAGTTGAAAAAAAGAAGAAAGTCATCAGATGTTAGATGCGTAAGTAGTTTTTTTTTTTTTTTTTAATTTAAAAGTATGTAATTGACCCTAATGTTATTACTTTATTTAAGTTTTTAAGTAATTTCATTATCTGAGACGGTATTTGATGAACTAGTGATACCAATTAAATGAGAAACTTTAATATTAATATAAATAATTAAATAATATGAAATTTAAAAAATTAAAAAGGGAAACCCACTACCATGAATTCCCATATTTCTTAGCAATGTAATTTTTTTTTCTAAAGAAAAAAAAAAGGAGGAGGATTGAGCAATTAATGGTGTGATTAGCACTTTGAATAATATAAGATAAAAATAAATGGGAAAATGAAAAACAATTTCTATTACACGCATGTGAGAAAAATCTAAAACAAAGAGAGGTTATTATTTTATTCTTAAATCTCAGTCATTTTAAAAAGAAATAATAAATTTTACTTTGTCAAATTTAGAATTAGAAACGAATGAAAATTTTATTTTTTATTTTTTTGAACAGAAAATTTTTATTTTTATATTTCATATATAAAATTTTTTATTTTTATTCTTTTAACAGACTAAAAAGAAGCACATGCTGAATTATTTGACATTATTAATGTTCTCAGCCCAATCATGTGATCTGCTAAAAATCAATATCTCCATCATAGAAACTGTATATCCAGGCATTAGAAGGACAAAGAGAACATGGATCTCTAACACAAAGAAAGAAAATTCATAAAATGAGATTAAAAAATATATTAAAGAATTTTGATAACGTATGAAATATAAATATATATAAATATATATTATCAGTTAAATGAAATTGATGATGAATTAATATATTTTTCACCAATTTGTTTCTGAATTGTTTCTTGGAGCTCAATGTTCTTAATCAGGTTTCGTCGAAAGTGAAATGAGAAAAAGTTATGTTACTAATATTTAGAGAAAAAAAAAAAAAAGGTAAAAATCTTACTAAAATGTAAAGTATTTGGTTGGGGCATTGGAGGGGTTGGGCCAATAATCTTAACTTTTGCAACCAATAAACAGAATAAGATCAGAACCAGTGGACCCAAATAAGAAATGGGGTCTTACAGAATGAACTTGGACCATCAAATCTCTAATACATGCATTGACCAAAAAGGTTTTCTTTTTTTTTTTTTATTGAATACATCGGCTCCTGTTAGTGTTTCGTAGCCTCGTACAAATTGCATTCCTCGGCTATAGTACTGCATTTTAACCTCTAAAAATGTGAATTTTGAGTTTATATGTGATTTAGGAGTGCTTTTCTTTTCTCCATTTTCAAACATTCTTTGAAGGGACAGACATTTCCTTCGACGGCGATTGAAGTTAGGATCAGAACCCTTATTGAAGGAAAGAATTCCTGTTTGTGAAAACTTCGAGTATCAATTTATTATATATGATAGAGTTTTTTTTTTTTTTCAATTAAAAATAACGATTGGTTTTAATGTAATTACTTCAAATAAGTTCATAATTGAGTTGGTGTTTGACACTTAATATTAATATAGATATCTATTTGGTTCATGCTCCCAAACAGAGGAAAAACGTTCCATGTGAAGTGTTAGTTAATGTCATCAAAGATTTGACCAGAAAAAACCTATTTTGGTCAAGCGAAATGAAAACCGGCAGCAGTGGAGAAAGGGAGGTTGGTAACTGTAATAAAGCAAAGGAAGCGCATGTGAAAATGGGGTAGTTTGTGGCCCCGGATGCAGCCTTCTTCCACATCTCGGTCCCACTCTCCTAGTCATGTCTAATTGTGAATCCGAAGCGAACCAACCCGAATCCCACGACAGTTCAATTCTGACCAATTCCAACCGGTTCGATTGTCATGTCTAGAGCTCGCTGGTTGGCTGAATTAGAGGATTGTTAGCCTTAGTGCTGACAACTCTGCAATGCAATTAATGGTACAAGAGAAGATGAAGCGGCCACTCCTCTCCCCAAACATTTATCTTGAGTAAGGTACTTTTTGCGTTTCAAAATATTTGTTATATATTTATTTCTACAAAATTAAAAAAAAATTTATTTTAATATATTTAAATTAAATTTTAATTTTTTTTATAAAATTTAAGTATCATAATTTTTAATATAAAAAAGTAAAAAATTCATAAAAAATAATTTTAAAATATATAAAAAAGAATTTTAAATATTAAAAAAATAAAATATAATTTTAAAATATTTCAAAAATAAATAAATAAATAAAATGAGACAAAGAGAGTACTATAAAAAAATACGTAATCCTATTCATAGTTTATACTCAAATTAGCTCTCAATTAGCAGCGACAACCATCATAACCAAAATAATGGAAGGGGCTTCAAAATTGCCAGCGCAATAATTATTAAAAATGTAACATTGTAAAAAAAAAAAAGAGATTACACAAACGGAAAGTTGGACTTCCTTTGACTGCATATACAGGCAGGTTCAATCCATCAGAACAAAGGAATTTATCATTACTTTTGAAGCCCTTAAAATGTTTGGTGTAAAATGGAATGTTTGTGCTCATTCAGGTACAGTCCTACAAGAGCAGCATTTATGGCTGCCCCATTTGGAAGGACATCCTCATTGATTCAGACGTGAGGGGAGTGTGGTGGATGAATCGAACAACTTCCTCATTTCTAATTCCAATGCCTAGCATGAATCCAGGGATTGATTTTGATAGAAGGCAAAGTTCTCTCCTGCCTGTTGCTCCTCTTGACATTCTCAGTACCAAGCAAAAGCCCACCAACCTTCTGAACAAGTTGATGCAAGCTATCACCATTTACAACAGCGGGATAAGGCGGGTAATCTTCTTCTTTCATGTCAATAGAAGCATATCATCTGTATATTGCTGCTTGTCCTCTTATGACCTACAACAAGTTAAAACTACATAATCATGCCTAAGCTGAACCAGCCAAGATTTTAAAAAATTAAGGTGAATATAATATAACCTTAAGCAGAGATATGATGGCGGAAAAGTAATCTATTAACAAAGCAGCAAACAACATATACAGTAATGTCCTTCAAAACTTTTTATCCTATTTTATCTAGAGAACTGTAGCAATTTTCGTTATCCCTTACTTCCATTATATTTTAGAAATGCATTTATAGTTTAATTACCATTTGCCAATAAGGTCTTAGAATTTTAAGGTTCTAAATTTAAGTCTCCTTAGTTTGATTATTTAATTAAGTTATAATTTATTAATTGATTATTTAAGAATATATCTTGATTATATATGAATGTAATATTTAATTATGAATATAATTTTTTAAAAAAATTACCCTTTTCTTTTACAGAATGAGTTCCTCCCTAGTCCCTGCCGTCAAAATGGGTTACAGATAATATTGTGGCCCATTCTTTAGCAGGTTTTACTAAAGAGCTCATTAGAAAACATACTCCAATTATTGGATTTGGTCCTACGCCCCAAATTTGAAACTTAGGGTACTTTTAATTTTCATAATCTCAAACATTATCGCAAGGAATAACAATCGGCTCAACAAATAATAAAATTGAAGCCAGAAACAAGACCAAAAACTTCGTACCGAAATGGAATGCTCATCACTCATCAATATGCCAAAACCAGAGAGAAAAGCAGTTATATATACTGCATAGACAGATATGCTCTTGTAATATACAATAACTAAATAGATAGATACATATATGTTAGAACTCAAAATCACTGCCGCAGTCCTAACTAGTAGAGAGCCTCAAAACGAAACGAGTCAATTATACACATCGAAATAAGTATCATCAAATTACAAGACATTCAATTTGCTAATCAAAACTATAAACAAGATTAACATCACAGCTACCCGAAAAATAACAGCAAATGGTTTATGTGACCGACGAGCTGAAAGCTTCTTTGGCCACCGAGATGCAGTCTCTTCACGAACAGGCACAACGCTTTTTGACATCAAAACAGTGCTTTTGTTCGACTCAGAAAGGGATATTTCCTGGGGTTCCTCCATGGTGCCATGAGCAGCATCACTGCCAACAGTGATATTCTCTTCCATGACTTTTACCACCTGCGAAGACAAACTTAATAAGCCCAATATATATCTGGAATTGGCAGTGGTTTTATACCAGCATCGGTTACAAACTTCTCACCTTTGTAACAACTGGTTTTGAATCATCTTCTTTCTCTTCGCTACTACAGTTGTTTATTGCATTGCCACAATAAACTGAGCGGACTTGAAGTTTACACTGCAGACGTAGTCTCCTTGGAGCATTACCCTGTGTCATGGAGTTCTCAGTGACTGGTTGACTTCGAGCAGGGCGAGACCTAATCCTGATTCCAGTGATAGCATTATCAACATTACAAGCTGTATTCATATGATTGCCCAATTCTGCATTACTATTTAGCACATTATAGAATGGCCCTGTCCCAGAAAGGTTAACGTCCTGCATGCAAATAGGACTTGTGCAATCTTGTGCAGTTGCTTTAAAGTCTAGAGGAGCCCCTCTGTTGGCCGTGTCTGTCCCAAGCTGTTCCAGAGGAAAATTCTTGTTCTTAGGAAAAAAAAAAAAAAAGGAAAAGGTTGTTCTTAATGGAAAATTGTACTTAATGCCAGAAGATGCAAATATGAAACTATGCATATCATACACATGATCATAATCCATCATAGCATGATAAGGCATAACATTTGAATGAATCTTGACACACTATAATATTCAATGGGAAAAACTGCAATAGTATATGATAAACAATATGCAACTAGCTGGCTTCTACTCACCAGTACTTGGGCCACTACAGCACCTGATTCACTGCATGATCCACCATCCTTACCAAAGGTCATGGCCCTAGGGGTCTCGCATTCAATAGCTGAATTCTTCTGACAGCCAGAGTCATCACCATAGTCGTCATCCGAATTTTTTAGGATAGAATCCAAGAAGTCAGAAATAGAGGTATCATTTTCATTTGAGCCATGCTCAAACTCCACTCCACTGAAACTGTTCCCAAGATGATCAAACATCCAGGGTGCCTGCTCTGCTTCAATCTGTTTGTGCAATGGAGAAAATAGTTTGCAGTCTGGTAGCTCCATCGTGGGATCATAAAAATAATTCAAAGCTTCTCCAAGTGGATCCACCTGAAATTGAACAACATAAGTGCTACAACAATGATTTCAAAATCTAAATTCAAATTCAGTTTCTTTTTCTCACCTCTGCAGGTGCTACTTCTGCCACTGGACCCATTACACCATAAGTGTTATAATCATCGCTGTTGCACTCTAATATGGGTACAACAGCGCTAAAAATCACTTCATCGGGCAAACCCACAGGACAAGTTTCACTGATAATGGAAACTTTTTCAGCTTCCGCTCCCACCACAGGAGAGTCATGAAGCACTTCTAACTCCGACTGCATATCTTCAGTATGAGATGATACAGCGGGATCAACTTCATCACCATTTATATCTTCAATGGTCTCATCTTGTTTCTTGAATAAACGACAAATTACGAACGCATTCTGCAGAAGAAAAATGAGATAAACAATCATCTAATGAACAAAACAGGTAAATCAAGCAATTTCTTCAACACATAATCACAATTGACCCACCGATCATATACATAAACCCTAGTAATTGTGATCAAGAAACAGAACCACCAAACGGACTCGAGTAACTAATCTTGTATTAAAACATAAATCATATCAAGTAATTCATGATGTCAACCAATTTTCGCGATCGGTACTACAATTGATCATATATTCCATGATCACAATAACAAGGGGTAACTAAACAGAAACTGAAATTCGAAATAAAACAGAGTTAAGAAAAAGGAATAACCTGTCCGGGCTTGGTGCCGTCAAGTTCATCGAGGGTAGTACGGTACTCGTGCATAACCCAATTGGTTCGCTTTCCCTTAGGAGCCCTGCCGATGTAAAACACCAGAGTTTTCTTCATGCCGATCAAGGTGGACCCAGACTTAATCTTGCGATCCTTACCCGTAGCCTTCCAGTAACCAGCCTCAGTAGCCCTGTTGAGCCTGTTGCCGTTTGGGTACTTTCGGTCCAGTGGGCAAAAGAAAAACCATTCCGGGTCACGTGTCCTTATAGCGGACAAGTCAGGCAAATCCCACGGCTCACATTTGCAAACATCGATTTCACGAATGACTCGAACCTCATCGTTTCTGTTCCCGTTTATCTTAGACCGCAAGTAGAAATTGACCAACTCCTCGTCCGTTGGTCGGAACCGAAACCCGATGGGAAGTGAATTCAGTGACTCAACAGCCATGCCAAAATGTTGTCAAAAAAGAAAAAGAAAGATTGTTTGGGAGATATTTTGAAAACCCAATAAAAAAGGATAACCCTAAAAACTATTGAAAATGAAAAAGGGTGAGGAAGAGAAGATTCAAAGGGGAATTAGTCTTTGGAAGAGTTTGGTTTAGAGTTCAAAGGCAAAGGAAGATAGCCCATAGCTTCTGTTTTCTTTCCTTTGCTTTTAAAGGATGTAGAGGAAAGTGCTTAGAAGTTTACCCGCGTTTCAATGGGACATTCCGCGTAGGATTTGACTCACTTTACCACCTGTTTTAAAATTATCAAATATATTGAAAAGTAAAATATTTTAATTTTACAAATCACTATAATATAGTTACACTTATTTTTTATATATTTAAAAAAATTAATTCAAAAAAATAAAATATTCATCATCGTATTAATTTTGTGGAATTAACAAATTTTATTATCAATATATCAGATAATTTTTTTTTATTTTTATCATTATACTATTTTTTTTCAAAGTATTAACAAATGCATTTTGAACAAATTTTTATTATATTTAGAATTTATTTATTTAATTTATAAATTTTAAAAATTTTAATAAATGAATGTAAATTAAATTTATTAATAAATTATTTAAAAAATGCTCTAAATATGTATATTTTTATTTTATTTAATTAATAAATTTTAAAATATTATTCATAATTATTTATTTAATTTAATAAACAAACATACTCAAATAAAAATGAAATCTATTTACCTTCGGCCGTTGGCGTTGCTGAGTCAGTGTCCAATGTCCAAGGGCGTAATTTTGCTAGAAACTAATGGGTGGAGTATCCGAATCCGAGTGGAGCATTGTGTAAGCCATCGAATAAAGTTTTGACATGTAGGAAACGACGTCATACCGAAAAGCATGGAGTCCACACGGATTACGTGGCAACCTATGAAAGTGCCGAGAACCTCACCCTCAGTTTCCTACTTCCCTTGATACGCTGGGCTTTTTCAATTTTTTTTTTTTCTTTTTCTTCATTCTTGATGTGACCAATAACGAAACATTTAATTTCCATCACAAAAACGCCCTTTTTCCTTTTTTTTTTTTCACTTTATTTAACAGAGTCAAGTGTGAACACGAAAAGTGTTTCGTGGAAATTGGAATAAATAAATGAAAAAGAAAAACCCAAATTAAATGAGAAGCTACCAAATGATATCAGAATTGGGATGTCAACGTTGGACCTTGCTTTCTTATAATTCCACCAAATAAACCCAACAACTCCAAAAGATTCCAATCTCTTCTGTCACAAATCACAATAATTTTCATTTCACATTTTCAAATCTTTTTCCAAAGAAAGGGGCTAAGGCATCCCAAAAAGTTTAACCTTCACAATTGTCTCCTTGCACTAGATTTTCTTTTTCAACAGCTTTATATTTGTCGTTTCTTTTGAAGAAAAGGGCAGTTATATCACATGTTCATCAAGCACCATTAGTTCACTTGTTATTATTAAAAACAAAAAATCAAAATTTAATTTGATTAATTTATATAATTATTTTTAAAAATTAATATATGTAATTTTCTCTATTTTGGTATTACAACCTGTTTTATTAAAAAAGGAACCAAAAGCATATATTGGATTCTTTATCATCGCTTTCCAAAAAAAAAGGAGTAGAGTTTATGTTAATCTTTTTAAATCATCAAATATAGTGGATTCCATGTCATTACTCATTAATTCATATACCTCCCATCGGCTCAACATTTTTTCTTTATGTTCACAGCACGACTTGCATAAAGAATAATACTAATCGTCAGACAATGTGATCATTATGATGTAACAAATATCATGTTGTTAGAACATGGCTAATGAGATTAACGTTGTTCATTCCTTAGCATCGAAGGGCGTTTTAGAACTTGACAGTTACAGGGCAATGTTGTTCACTGTTAGATAACAGTACTTCCTTCATCTTACCTAGTAAGTAATACGGAGGTTTCCATTATTACATGCTTTAAAATGTTAGCCTGGTCATGTCATTTGCCAGACAACATCTTCATTAACCTATATTACTATGAAGTATGAATTGCAGCTCTCGATTCTTATATCAGAATAACTATTTGCTCTCCCTCCTTCTGGATTTTCGAAAACGAACTCATCAAGATACAAACTACAGGAAATCAGCCATATGGTTAGAACTTAGAAGTTCATCCCCATGGTGCATAAATTGTACAATTTCGGTTGTTACTGATCTATTATTTGCTTATGGCCAAGAGAAATTTGCTACGTAATAGTTGTGTAATTGTGTTACATCCATATCTGATGCATTCCATGTACAAAAAGTCCTAAAGTGGTGTTCTGAGCTCACCATGCTACAAATGAGCGATTGCTACCAGTAACCTGCCTACCATTTATGAAAATATATACATATAAACTTTTTCACTCCTCTAAATTCTCTTTTGCATTTCCCTGTTTAATCAGAGGGAGTTAGCTCGATCTGCTATGGCCGACAAAATGGCCCCTGATGGGATAGCCAATAAATTTCATGGTGATAAGACGGTTGGCACAGGAGTCCCCTACCTGATACTGTGAGAGAGTTGATCTTCCTTGAGCATGATCAAACGTAATGCATGAATCTTGGACAATAGTTGCAGCACAAAAATTTTCAAGCTCCCTCTGAGAAACTCCAATGGCTATCTTAGCATGAACAGCACAAACTGCTCGTCCGCTTGAACTTTATTAATTTAGGCTTTTCATTTTTGTGCCCATACAAAATTTCCATCTAAATTTCGTTGCATCTCAGATTGGTTAAGATATTAACAGGGAACATGGCATTTTTATTTGTGAGAACACCACTGTAAGTCGTGCATGATCGGACAGAGAATAATTTTCAGGCCACCTTCCTTTTTCCACTTCCGGAGGGAATAGGACTGCATTCTTCACACCAAAACCAATAGCTTGCTCGTGGCGATATTCTGCAGCTGCCATAACTTGGCCTTCATTGCTGTGTTCATCCCTTTGCTCTGACCACGTAGCATTCCAGATCCGCTGCTGCAAGGCCATTGTATTGTTCCAGAGCATTAGCATTATATATATGATAAATCTACCTAATGGAATTGATGGCAACATAAGTTAAACCTCTTTCTAAAACCACGCAATAGTATGAGATATACTAAGCTATACGTACCAGTGTCTGTTTCTTGACACTGGGTACATTTTATGCAGAGCTCTCCAAATTCACAATATGATTATAGAGAGACTCAGAGGCGTATATAAGCAACCAGTTTGGTTCATTGAACAGACCATGAAGATCAAATATCCTGGACTACAGGCATACTGCATAATGCTAAAACCCTCAAATTTTATTACCAGGATTAAGGAAGCACCAACGTGCTTCTTGTGAATAAGAGCCAACAGGTACCTAAGACAAAGTTCTATAAGAGTTACCTGAAATTCTTTACGGTCAACAACACTGTTTCCATCAATGTCTGCTTGAACCCACAAATCCTTTGTCTCTTCAACACTTAGTCCATAGCGATGACCAGTTATATTAAACTGTAGAAAGACAGAAATTGTACTATTTGTATTCTCCTCCTAAGCTATAAGGTAATGAAAATGACAAGAAATAAGTTTTAGATCCCAATTTTAGTAAAGTTCTATACCTGCCGAAGAGCTTCACAGAAACCTAAATAGGTAATATAATCACCATCATTGTCAGCCTTAAGAAAAGCAAATGCATCGTCTTCTGTCAGTGAAGCTTTCCTTAGTTGATTCTGCAACAGAACTTTCCACTGTCAGATAAAAATGTTCCAGAAGTACATTTTCTTTCCTTGACTAGGTACACTTTTGCTTTTGGATTCATGAAAACAGTAAACAAGACACATATATTTAGCAGATTTTCTCTTATTCCAGATTAAAATGAACAACAACCAGGGAAGCAATTACTAATTCAGTAAAACTCTAATCACATAATGGGGAATCTTGAGCAGAAATTATATTTGACAATATTAGATAGGGCAGAAAAAGTAAAAATAAAAAACTGAGGGGGATGGAGAAGTAGATAGATCAACAATTTTAAGCTTCTGACCTTGAACATGCCAAATACTGCTTCACTCCAACTTGTTTTTAGTAGTTTCCGATATCTATTGGGATTGAGAAGCCATATAAAATCCACACCGCATACATTTCCCCGATGATTGAGGTGGCTAACCCACTGTTTTTAAAATTCAGACAATATGAGAAAATTACTAGACATCTATAAGCTTTGACAAAAGTTTTAGCAATAGGGAAATTAATGTGGTCCTAAACTCCTAGTGGAAGCACAAAGATATTTACTTTATGTGCATCTGCGTCAGTGTACTGATGAGCAGTATCATATGATGATACAAAGCCCTGGGACCTAAGGAACTTGTAAACGTGCCCACGTTTGCTCCCATTCCAGTCACTGTAGGAAATGAGCAAGAAAAGCAAACAAAGTAGTATTGCTCTACAGGGGTAAGATATCAGTGTTCGGTCCAAACTAAAAGAAATAAATTATATATTCACCCGCAAAGCATAATCGGCAAAGGATTAAGATTGTACTCCTTCTGATAAGATTCCACATACTGCAAGATTTTGTAGACCTGCCAAAAGAATTCTACAACTGGGATCAAAATAAGTAGAAAAATAATTAGTGAATATTTTCTGCTTTCATATGAAAGGAAGGATGTTTTTGCCTGATGCAATCGTACTATGCACAAACTTGAATCGTGAGGAAAAAGCAAATGGGTATTCACAATGAGAATTTCTTGGCAAGTATCATTGTTTCCATATTGTGAAGCAGGGGTAGCCAACTCAACATGTAACAACTGAGCAACCCGGTCTCCGCAATCATTGAATAGCAACTTCCTATAGTTAATAACTCTAAAATAGTCCTTATGAACGGCAGTCAACAGACCTGTTATCCCCAACAGAAACAAGGTTAAGTTAGAAGGAATCAACAGAATTTAGAATGCAAGAAAATGGACCACTTCATTGCTTAATGTAGAAGTAACCATTTGATAATTTTTCAGAATGCAAGACCAGACCCCTTCACTTTTTATTTTTGTCTATCACTAGAACAAATGAACAATACCTGATGTGATAGTCGACATAATATAGTGGAATTCCAAATGTCTATAAAAGACCATTTCAATAAAAAAAAAAAAAAGGGAAAATAGAAAGCAACCTCAACCTGCTTCATTTGCGTAAATGGCCTATCCCCAACACCCAATTCATGAGACTTACACGTTCTAAACTTGAAAAAAAAAATCATTTCTTCATTTCTCTTTTTCGTTTTCCCTTGAAAATTTTCATATATTGAATTGAATTTAAAAAAAAAAAAAGTGACAGAGGAGTTAAACATGCCATCACCACGGTTGTTGGTACGTCCAAGCTTGAAATTAAGATAACGAGCATCGCCCAGCCTCTTCTCATACATATTTACAAGCTCTTCATTCCCAACCCAGAATTCCTACAGCAATAGAAATGGGTGTTGCAGATTCATAATTATAATAATAATAATATTGAAATGACATTGTATGACACTGAAATGGATACCTGTAGACAAATGATGGAAGATCTCTCGTATAACAAAGAATCCAATATCCGTTGATTCCTGGCCAACCAATATGTCCTGTAATCGCTTTCACGGCAGTTCTGGTCCTGAATCCATTCATAAATGCAAAGTAAAACAGAAAAATGAAAAATGGGTAGTCGATACAATGGTAAAAAAATAAAATAAAAGAAGAAACCTTATGAGAAAGGCGTTTGTAAATGGGAGCGAGGATGTTAAAAGTGGTGCAGGTAATACAGGGTTGGTGAGGATGATCCCTCATAGAAGACGCAATCGCATAGCTTCCAATCATCGATACCCTTCCAGTCATCTTTGCTCTCCTATCTTTCCTCATTATCGATTTTCACAACAAACCATACCAAAAAAAAAAACAGAGTCCTTTTGGAAATTTAAATATTTGAAAGTTGGACGTGACGATTGATTTTGGCTCGGGTAATGGTTTTGAAAATAAATAAATAAGGTGGTAGCGGCGGTGTCCCTTCCCCTTATGAATCCATATCCAACCCGAAAATGAAAGCACCACCATGACGACCGCCTTTCGTTGCTCTGGTGTCAACTAAAACAATGGCCAACCTCATATTTACCTTCTTTTTGTTGCTAATGTTCGTTTATGCTCCTCTCCTTGTATTTATATCGTGGGCATTTTAATATTCCATATATTCCTTAATTCTACTATTAGGATTAAGAATGATATTATTAAATATTTTATCTATTTATTTATCTTTTACATAAAAAATATTCAAGACATAAAATTTATTAAATATTATCTTTTAAAAATATATTATATAAATAAATTGAAGTAAATTTAAAATTTATTTTGTTTTTAATATATAGTATGTGACTAACATGTGATTCATTCATTTTTCATTTTATAAAATTTTTTACTTTTGAAAATCTTGACTTTTTTTTTTTAAACATGAATTTTTTATTATTATTATTGTTGTTGTTGTTATTATTATTATTATTATTATTATTATTATTATTAAAGTCACTTACATTAAATTCTCTGTCCAAAGATACAGACTATAAAAAGAAGTAGCTGGATATTATAAATATAAGGTTATTGAATAAATCTTTCTCCGAAGGTAATAAAATAGCTACCAATCTGACAACTAAATCAGTGTAAGTAATTTCAATCTTAGGTGTCTCGAGGCCTTGGCCTCGTAAGTATATTTTTCCACTCGTACATAAAAAAAAAAATAAAATTAAATTAAGACTTGATATACTAACATTTTAAAATCACACACTAATTAGTAGCATTAATGAATTACAATTTTTTTTATATAAAAAACTTTAAAGATAGATAAATTATTTAATCTTTTAAATTAAAATAAGATGTGTCATATTTGATGATTTAAAATATATAATTATAAATCGTGAATTCGAAGTAATTTCAATAAATAATTATCAACATGATTCGAATAAAATAAAAATAAATTATAATTTTTTTCTTGAAATTTTTTCATTTACCTCATTCAATTAAAAAAAATAAAAGACCTTTGGGAATTTGAGAATTTTTGTTTCATTTCATTTTCAAATAGAGATGGAGACTATTAAAGAAGTAGTTTGGGTCCTGCTTGATGGATACATTCAAGTGCAGTGCGGCGTTCAGTACAGTAATCTCGACTCCACAGAATTTTTTTTAATTCTTTTTTTCTGCTAAAAGTTGAGATGGTGGATTAATAGATTTTGATTAGTCAGCACTTTTTCATATACCTATAATTAATGCTGGATTTACCTCTACTCATTTTTTTTTCTTTAGCTTCTTTGATTACTTAACAGAATAACAGTTAAAAAAAAAAGAAAATAGATAAAATTCCTCCATCTACCTATAATTATTATTTCATAATTCGTTGTAATCCATTTCACAATATATATTCTTCATTTTTAATATCTTTTTTTTTTTTTCCATTTTTGGTATTCAAAACATTAACACCGGAGGCGACATTGAGATTGTTCGTACACTCACAATAATTTTCTAGACCATAGTAGTAGTATTTATCAAAATTACTGAGTCTTTTTTTTTTTTTTGAGCCATACCGAGTCCAATCTTGTACTAGTAGACTATGATACGTAGAGCTGATTAAAAAAAATTTTTGGCAGGAATTAAAAGGAAAAGGGTTGAGGATGAATGAGGAAACTGATAAAAAGAAAAAGAGCATTTTTGCGAAGATAGGCAAAAGAGACGTGCTTGAGATGGCGAGGGGAAAGGTACATGTTATTTTTGCAATATGAGATGATATAAAACCTCTCTATTACCAAGAAAAAAAAAAACTCTCATCTTATTTGTAACCCAATAGGAATGAAATAAAATATTTTATTAATTGAAATTTACATCTAGTTATATACCAATTAAGATAATTGAATGTCTAGATTTATAAAAGATCAAAGTATTTAGAGATAAATCATAAAATATATGAATGTAAATAATAAAAAATAATATAATAATTAAAAAATTAAATAAAAAAATGATTGTTAATAAAAATTAACGACGTAAAAGAATTTAAATTATAACTTAATTTAATTTTTTTATTTAATTTTTCATACAATCGATTCTAAAATATGAAATATAATATTTAATGTGTTATTGTTGTAGTAGTGGCAATTTAAAAAAATTAGTTCGAAGAGTAGCTGTAGATTACATAAAATAGGCTAAAATTTTCTATCTTTACATCACATTCCAAAGAATTGTAGTTTTCCTCATCAACACGACAGAGAAGATTTGAGGACTTGTTTGAATGATATCTTTGACCCGTTTTGCACCATTCTATACGACACTAGTCCATAAATGGTCCAACAGAGTTTTCACCACCTCACATGAACATTAATTAGGAACCGCCTTCGTTAATTAACAACATCAGGATTGCATTCATGGCTCATACGCCATTGTAACATGGGCTATATGTGTTTATGTATTGATCTGACATTACAGTACATCCCGTCCCTTGTATTGGATTCACGGCCACAACGAGACAAATCCCAACCCACCGCGCCCCTGTCCCCAGCGCCTGATCTTTGAGTAACCCTTGCAGCATGCAACTGCAAATTGACAGATTTTATATCTTCACTGAGCTGGCATGCAGAGTTTGATTTGCAGGAACCATGGATGGTGCTGAGGAACTCAACAAGCTGATAGAAAGGAAGAAAACCAGGCAAGAGAGAATTAGCTTTTCGGCCACCCTGCCTGCTGACGTTAGCGATGTCTTTGCTGGTAGTATGTGTGCAGTTAAGTTGTCTAAAGACCCATTTTCCGATGTGAGAGATTCCATACTGGAAATGATTGGTGATGCAGGTATACGCGATTGGAATGCAATGGAAGAGTTGGTTTACTGTTACATTTCTCTCAACTCACCAGAGGTTCATCAGATTATTGCAAATGCTTTTCTGAGTTTGTGCTGTTCTTAATTTCTTTCTTATTAGTTTCTACTACCGTCTATAATTTTTATTTCATTAGAAGTATGGCATTGGCTTGTCCTGTAAAATCATGTGGAAAACTGGAAAAAAAATATGCTTCGACTTGTAGAATATTGTCGATGCACAGCAAAGGTATTTTAATTTTCATCCAATTATCTCGCTTTTCCCTCTGTGATTAATTTCTCACTTTAGTTATAGCCTGAAGCATTTTGAAACAAGAAATGGTAAGTCCATCAACTATCAATTTCAAATAATTTTATTTTGCTTTTTCCTTTAATTTTTTTATATATTAATATTAGTAGATTATATAATTATTTTAACTTACTCATTAAAGATTCCTTGAGTCTTAAACTATACAACAAGATGCAAATTTTCCTCACAATAAATCCCCGTCCATTCTTTTAAAATTTGAGTTTGAAACTTTTAGCTTGAAAGTTTGCTCACTAGTCTTCATCAAGATTCAAAAACTGAATATTTGCAATATCTTCAAAAATTAATTGCAAATAACAAACAAATATAATTTTTTCTAATACATAAACGTTATATACATACATAAAAATATGCTTATAATATAGTCATATTTTTTTATATTTTGGACTATAACTGAAGTTTGAACAAGAGTCTTTCAATCATAGAGCCGACTTCAATATCGCTTATCTAACAGTCCATTGATATAATATAGTTATAAGCATTGCTTTAAACATGGTTCCAGGCTTGGTTAAGAAAAAAAAAAAAGGAACATAATTACATTAAGCATAAAAAATTTTGAATACTTTAAGTCAGTGCCTTTGCTTTTAGTTCTTTTTTTTTTGTGGGGTGAGTGTGACATTGTATTTGAGAAGGGGAGATTGGCCTCGGATGGAAGACAACCTGGGCAGATGTGGTTGGAAAGAGACCTCACCCTCAAATCTTGGTGTGCAAATGACCAAATCTCCATTTTATTCTTGGTGCATAAGAACGGACAAGATCATAACTGTGGACTTGGGGGGGGGGGGGGGTGAGAGCTGCAAATTTCCATTGGCATAACTGCCATAACTAACTCAAACCAATATACATTTCTCACCCTCAAACTTGGCAAGAAAGGGGCAGACTATATGCCAATTGACAAGGTCAAATGTAGATGGGCCACAAAAACTAATTTGCCAGAGAAACAAGGGCTAGTAACCCGTGGAAAATCTCCTAAACATAGAAGCTGCTCTGCCTATTAATGGATTCCCTTGCGTTGCTTCCATTCCTTAGCCTCAATAGTATCCTTTGAATCAAAAAGCATATTGGAGAAAGTACAATCCGCCCACCTCCAGAGACTCGCCCAATCATCCCAAAAATTCCTGACGTATAATGGGAGGCTGTGCGAGCAAACCCAGGGAGTTTGACATCTCTGTCGAGGCTCCTGCCAACCCTGAGAAGCCTCAGCTTGAGACCGCTGCTCCGGTAACACCTTAAATTTTTATTTACACAATTAGAGAATTTACAAGTTTAACAGTTCTGTGTTGTTATTTCATATAAATGAATGCAGGAGAACACTAATGGAGGTGAGAGTCAGATTGAAAAACCTTTGGTAGATCTTTCTGAACCAGAAAAGGAGGCTCAAGGCTCGTCCTCCGAGCCAAACACCACTGCTGCTGAGCCAGTTTCCTCAGAGACGGTTGCTGAGACCGCCAGACCAACAGAGGACGACGTTAAAGCCGCTGCCATGAATGCGGAGGATAAGGTTGAGGTTACTGATAAGACCACAGTGGCGGCAAAGGAGGTTGAAGCTGAAAAATCAAGTGCCGCCCCAAGCAAGGAAGAAGTTAAAAGTGATGCACCTCTCGTCTCTGCGTGATCACAGAGAAAAACTAGAGCGCAGACGGTTCATCATTTACTTCAAAAATGCTTACTTTTGGATGGTTGGATTGTATTTTGTATCAGCCTGATCAGATTTATATCTCCCACACTGTCTGTAACAAATGAAAATTCGGATTATATCCATATATCAAATGATCAGTATGGTGGTAATTAATAAATTATTGTTACTATATTCCTATTAGAACAAGTTCATTTGAATTTCATTATGAATCCAATGGTAACATTCACAAGAATAGGATGGTGTTTGATCTATGTAGCATTCGCAAAAAAAAAAAAAAAAATCAAAAATTGATTCAAAATTTTAATATTTAATTTTTTTGTTCAATTCAATTTCAATTCGAATTTGATGATTTTGGATTCCTTAGTCAAAAAATTAAAATTATCTTGGTCAAATTGAATCACATTTTTATTATTTTTTAATTTTTAAAAGATAATAGATATTTCATTTCTAAATAGATGCAAATAAACTAAAAAAAAAAACTAAATTTTCAAAAACTGAATAGATGGAATTCAATTTTATTTTAATAATAAAAAAGTCTTTTTAGGAGTTGGACTAAACAGGTTCGCATCAGTTCTCTAAGTTTTGGGCTGTATTAGGCCCATACGGGGCCCAAACTGAGCCCATTTGAGCTAAGCGAGACGGTGGAGGAGCACAAGGGCATGGCGTGTGACTCACAATCCGTTGTTAAGGTCGGTAATCTAATCTGTTCTTGGCAGATTTTAACCTGATTTTATAAAATTAATTTTTTTATTTTGAAATTCGGGTTTCGGATAAAATAAATTAAAAAAAATCGGATTGAATTTAAATTTTAGATAAATTCGATTCAATTTGATATTATATAAAAAAATATTTTTAAAATTAATTATTTGATTTTTTATTTATATATATTTATATAATTATATTTTTAAATATTTTATATTTAAAAAATAATATTTTATTAATTTCAAATTAAATCAAATTATATTATTTATATAATATTAAGTCAGGATTAGATTTGAATATAAAAAATAAAAAAAAATTCAAATCGAGCTTGAATTTGATGATAAACGAAGTCGGATCGAATTTGAGACAGCAAAATCCGATCCGATGCGAACTCTACCCGCCGCTCCCTCTTTTTAACACACGCCACGTGCCCACGAGCATGATCTAGCAACTGAAATCATAACGGATAAAAATGAGGCAAGCTTAGGAGTTAGGGAGGCCGTAGAATCTCAATCTCCATACCCATCCCGCCATTTGTAACCGGTTAACTGTCTGAGCGTCAAGAGCATGGCACTGCCACTCTTTGCAGTGCTAGGCACCATTTGCGGTTACCCAATCAATATAATTCGAAAGAGGAACGTTTATTTCAAAGTATCATCCTCGATTGAAGACCATAATCAATCGAGAGTCAAGTACGATTCTCTTAGGGTTCTTGAATGGGACAAACTCTGCGAATCGGTTGCCTCTTTTGCCCGCACGTCCTTGGGTCGTCAAGCCACTAAGGTTTTTCATTTTTTTCCCTTTCCTTTTTTTTGATAAATCAACAGTTTTCTTTTTTGTTTTCCTTTGCTTGTTGGATTAACAATTGAGAATTGACAGACCCAGCTTTGGTCTCTCAACCAAACGTTCCAAGAGAGTTTGAGGCTTTTACAAGAAACCAATGCTGCAATCCTAATGCACAACGATGGCTCTTTTAACTTGAACTTGACTTCCGTCGACCTTGCTCTCGTAAGTTTTCTTTACTTTCTTCGAATTTTTATTTATTATTACCAATTTGTGATATTTCCCCGAGTGTTTGTATTTTTGTCTCTGCAAAGGTTGGATCTGCCATCAAACATGCCCGGAGGGGCTTACCTTTAGAAGCAAACGAAGCAATGGCTGTTCTATCTCTTCTACTGTTTATTGAAGCTTTGCAGCTTAATTTAAAAATTACAATCAAGGAAGACTCTGATTGGTATAAACAATTCATGCCGCTTAGTGAATTGGTAAATTCTGCCCTTCAAATGCTTACCCTCCCTTGTTCTTGCACATGCATATGCATATTTAGATTTACTTTCTTTTTCTTTTTCCTTTTCAATATATATATATTGCAGATTGCACAACTGGTTGTAAACCGACCAATAATTAAGTTGATTCAGCAAGTTATAGATGAAGATGGCTCTGTTAAAGACTCTGCGGTTTGTTCCTTTTGCCTCAAAGTTTCATCCGTGAAATTATATATAAAGAATTTTGTTTCTTTAATCATATGCCACTGGTTTTATTCCATCTTAAAACTTATTCTCTTTCAGAGCTCTGCCCTTAAGAAAGCACGGGATCATGTGCATATACTTGAAAGAAAGGTGAAACTTCTTGGTTTTTCTTCTTAAAACTCCAGTGATGTTTTTGTTGGAAATACATGTTAGCTCATAACTATTTCTTTTTAGAGCAGTTTTTATCCTTTTTTTTTTTTTTAAATCAAGGCTTTGTATGATTAAGGTTAGTGTTTGTTGGCAACAACCAGTTATTTGTTAAACATCTTTCAGTTGTTGCCCCCTCTCTGTTTGGTTTTTCTCCCAACCCTCTCAAGAAGAATGAGAAATTAAATAAAATTAAAGTTTAAATATCTTTTTGAATGAAATAGATAGAAATCTCATTGAACTTCGCTAAGCTCTAAGCCCTTAACCCAGGCTACTTACCGTATTTAGTATGATGCATGAATCCTTTTACCTTCTTCATTCATCTCAATTAAAGTCATACACTCTAGGAGATGTTTAGCGTTAGATTTTTTTAATTACTTCAAATTATATCAACATTGGTCTACCTCTACCCTACATTCTCCACATTTCCAGTGTTAAATCACTCCTTTTTCATTCTCAAGGGAAAAGGAATGCTTTTACATGTGCTAAACCTTTGTTTATCAGGGTGCAAATCTATTATTTATCCTTTGTCAGTGTTGCTTTCAAATTTTTTTCTGTTAATTAAAATAATCTACTTTGCTATTTTAACTGTGTAATTGCTTCTCTGTTCAGTTGCATCAATTAATGGACAATCTAATTAGGAACGAAACAAAAGAGGCATCCTTTCTGGTAAAATTTATTTGATCACCAACATATGCTTTGTCAATCTTCATCTATTTTATCCTAATTACCACCGTATTATTTGTTCAGGAGGCAAGTAATATTAATGGTAGATGGTGTATAACATCTGGGACTGATCAATTGACAAGTGTCAAGGGTCTTCTATTGTCCAGGTGCATAATTTTGTTGCTTAATTTCACTTATGAATGGAACACAATTATGTTCATGTGTTGCGTGAAAATGTTTAGCCCCCATTCTTGTGCCTTAGGTGTTTAAAATGCTGTTGCTTATCAGGGCAATACCACAATAAAATCTGTATTATTGAGGCACAACAGCAAAGAAGACAGGGCCAAACCACATATTTGGATAAAATGACAATACTTTCATTAACCAATATTTTTATTGTTAATCAGGGACCTTCAGCTTGCTTTTATTTGATGAATCAAGCAGAAAACCTTATAAAAAAGATTAGTTTTCCATTTTCTCCCTTTCTTATCAATTGCAAAACTTGAATTGAACAAAATTTTGCTCAACATTCAATATTGATTGTAGAAAATTAATTATGGTACTTAAAAATTTCTTCTACAAGAAGGTTGTTTCAGAAGTGCACAAGGAATTTACGTTTTGAGACAAATAATTGAAAACCAAGAAGGATTATAGGATCAAGAGATGGATTAATTTGTACTACTATGGCTAATTCAATTTTTAAAATTGTAGCATTTCCTGATTTTGTCAATTTTCTTGGATAGATACTAAAACATATTTGAAGGCCAGATCTTTTTGTATTGCTTTTATTACCCATGAGCTGATGAAGGCCAGAACTTTTTAATACCATGTTATTGAAAGGAAATAAATGGTTCTAGTGGTTCAGGACTAGGAAATATTATAGAGCCACTTGCAGCTGTTCCTTTGAATGATGAGTTACAACAAGCAAGAGCATTAGTGGCAAAGGCTGAGGCAGATGTGCTTTTGACGTTGACAGAAAAGGTTGCTGGCTCTAGCAAGTGAAATTGCATTTAATTTATTATCCAGATTGTCATTTATCTCTCATCATGTTTTTGTATTCCGACAATCTATATAGATACAAATGGATCTCGATGAGATTGAAAAGATCTTGAGAAGTGTAATTCAATTGGATGTGGTAGGTGATTGCTTCTTTGCAACTTCTTCTTGGATCATATTTGGATTTTAAGTAAAAAGATGAATAGAAAAGATGTTTAGAAAAGTTTAGATACAATTTTGTTGGTTCTAATGATGGGACCATAAAGTTTAGTTTATGATGGATGTATTCTCCCTTATCTACCTTCAAATTAAAAAAAAAAAAAATGAGCCTCAGATGCGTGCATGCCATGTGCCAACTGTGATGGAAGAACTTTTAGGTTCTTCCAAAGTAGGACCTGTCATAAATCTACATCACCAATACAAGTGTTTCAATATATCTTATGGACTACATTTTGTATCATTCTTTCCATTTTTAATGACATAATCTGTTTTTACTTGCTGATTATTCCATTCTTATCCTGTTTCTTTTTCTTGATATCTAGATCTATGCTCGTGCAACTTATAGTCTTTCATTTGGAGGCACATATCCCAATATATTCCTGCCAGAAGACATCGATGAACCTTTAGCTGAATCCTACAGCTCAAAGGACAAAACTTTACAGGCATCAAATCCAAAAAAAGAATGGATTTTTTATCTACCTAAAGCTTATCATCCTTTATTACTTCAGCAGCATAGGCAAAAGCTGCACATGGCTGGGAAGGAGGTCCGCAATGCTTCTTCTGTAAGTAGCATATTTCTAACTTTTGCTGTCCTGAACTTTTGCTTTGTCTCAAAACACTTGCAAGAAATAGGATATTTCTATTTGTTTATGAAAATTGAATTCTTTTGTTCTTCTTGTGTCCTCAGTGGTTTTTAGACCTGCTTTATGTACAAGAATTGGCACAAGAGATTGCTAGTCACTAATTTTGCTCAAGCTATTCTTCAGGTTCTAGTGGTCAACTTTATGTATTCTTCTCTTCCATACTGTCTTTTGCCTTAGGAACTCAGGAGAAGAAAACTGCAGGGAGAGAATATGGCAGTCAAAGGAGAAGCAGAAATAGAGCTTTCATCCTTGGAAAAGCAGGTAACTAATTAATATTGTGGAAAAACTAAGAAATAAATCAGTGTGGAAACTGAATGTATATTGAAAAACTGCTTATAGAGAATTATACAAGAATCTTAGGTTTATATACAACTAACTAAGGGTTAAACTAGGAAACTAAATCTTCCTAAAAAACTAATCCTATAATTGAGGGATTGTCTATCCTAATTTTAGGGATACAAATACTTAATTCTAGAGATACAAATATAAATATACAGATTACAAGATTACAACCAGCTGTAAATAATTGTTTTCCCACACTCCCCCTCAAGCTGGTGAATAGGTGTTTTCCATTCCCAGCTTGGAAATAATTTCTTGAAATGTTGCACTGTTGAGACCTTTAGTCAACACATCTGCAAGTTGACCTTTGGTTGATACATAAGGTGTACAAATCAATCCACTGTCTAGTTTCTCCTCTATGAAATGTCGGTCTACTTCAATGTGTTTTGTTCTGTCATGTTGCATAGGATTGTGTGCAATGCTTATTGCAGACTTGTTATCACAGTAGAGTCTCATTGGTCCATCCCACTTTATCTTCAAGTCTTCTAGGATAATCTTTAACCATAGTAGTTCACAAATTCCTTGAGCCATTGCTCTGAACTCTGCTTCAGCACTTGATCTTGCCACCAGATTCTGTTTTTTACTCCTCCAAGTCACAAGATTACCACCTAAGAAAGTGCAGTACCCTGAGGTGGATAGTTACTAAACCTGCATAATCAATATCTGTATATGCTTCTAGAACTAACCCCGAATTTCTTTTGAATAAGATACCTCTCCCAGGATTGGCCTTCAAATAGTGTAATATATGGTAGACAGCCTGTAGGGCACTTCTTTAGGACTATGCATAAATTGACTTACCACACTCATAGCATATGCTATATCAGGTCTAGTATGTGAGAGATAAATGAGTCTTCCAACTAATCTTTGGTACATCTCTCTATTTACAGCAGCATCTTCATTAGCTTCTCCAATTTTATGATTAGGATCTATAGGGGTATTTGCAGGTTTACATGCAAGTTTCCCAGTTTTTTTCAGAAGATCCATCACATATTTTTGTTGTGAGATGAAAATACCATGCCGTGAGTGAGCGACTTCAATTCCTAGGAAGTACTTCAATCTCCCTAGCTCTTTTATCTCAAATTCTCTAGCCAAACACTGTTTTAGAGATTCTCTCTCTTTTTCATCATCGCCAGTTACAATTATATCATCAACATACACTAATAGAACTGTGACTGTCCCTGAATCAGAGTGCTTGATAAACAATGTGTGATCTCCTTGACTCTGTTTATATCTCATTGCTAGCATCACTTTGGCAAATCTTCCGAACCAAGCTCTAGGAGACTGTTTAAGGCCATATAAAGCTTTTTTCAGCCTACATATTTTGTTTGCTTCTAGATGACCTCCAAATCCCGGTGGAACCTTCATATATATTTCTTCTTCCAAATCACCATGTAGAAAAGTATTCTTTACATCAAATTGTTGAAGCTGCCAATTGTAATTTGCAGCCAATGATAACAAAATCCTACCTGTATTCATCTTGGCAACTGGAGCAAAGGTTTCCTAGTAATCCACTCCATAGGTTTGAGTGTAGCCCTTAGCCACTAATCTGGCTTTATACCTTTCAACAATACCATATGCCTTGTGTTTTATAATGAAAACCCATTTACACCCCACTGAATTTTTTCCTTTAGGTAACTCTACCAGTTCCCATGTCTGATTTTTCTCTAAGGCCTCCATTTCTATTTTCATGGCTTGCCTCCATTTCTCACTAGATAATGCATCGGATAATGTAGTTGGAACAGAAATAGTATTTAAGCTCACAAGAGAATTTTTGTGGGATTGTGAGAATTTTTCAAATGACACAAAATTAGAGATTGGGTATAGTGGATGCTTGGTACATTCTCTGGTTCCTTTCCTAATGGCAATAGGCAGCTCATAATCACTAGTTATAGTTTTAGGAGATTCATGCTCATTTTGAGAAACAGAGTCAAAAATTGTAGTTATCTTATTTTCAGAGTTAGGATCAGGTTCTTGGACTGGCATTGGTTCAGGATCTGGAACTTTCCTTCTTGAGTACACCTGTAATTCCTTCATAGAATCAAGAACAATATTATCCTTTGTCACATCTTCCGTATTTGGAATGGGTTCAGACTCAAATTCAGTGTTTGACTTGGGCTTAACAGAAACAGGTTTCGGCTCAGAAGAATTGATGGGTGTAAATGTTGAAGAAGGGGGCAAATCAAGCAAAAGAAGTCTTTATCCTTATCTTCCATGAATGAAGTCTCCCCCTGAAGATAAGGTTGAGTAAAAAATGGTTTATTTTCTTCAAAAGTGACATCTGCAGACACATAGAATTTTTTGGTAAGAGGATGATAGCCCTTATATCCTTTTTGAGTTGAAGAATACCCCACAAAAATACACTTAATCACTCTTGGATCCAACTTTCCCCTGTTATGACTGTGAACATGAACAAATGATGTACAACCAAATATCCTAGGTGTGAGATTGTTTATGGTATTGAGGTTGAGATAAAATTGTGAGAGTAGTTCCATAGGAGTTTTAAATCCCAAAACTCTTGAAGGTAACCTATTTATAATGTGTGTGGCAGTGAGAACAACTTTCCTCCCAGTAAGATTTAGGTACATTTGCTTGAAAAAGAAAGGCTAGGGTTGTGGCTAGTAAATGGTTGTTTTTCCTCTCTGCCACTCCATTCTGCTGTGGAGTATTAACACAAGATGACTCATGGATAATCCCCTCTTTTGGAAATAGAAGGATAGACTCTGGTTGAAGTAGTCTCTTAAATTATCAGACCTAAATCTCTTGATTCTCACTCCAAATTGATTTTGGACCATGTTTTGGAAGCTTAAAAACACACTATTCACATCTGATTTGGATTTAAGTAAAAAAACCCAAGAGATCCTGGTACAATCATCTATAAATGAAACAAACCATCTCGCACTTGAAATATTAGGAATTGTAGAGGGACCCCAAATGTCACTATGAATCAAGTAAAAGGGAGTAGAACTTCTTTTGTTACTGATTGGAAAGCACGTCTATGCTTTGCAAGTTCGCAAATATCACAATGAAAATCTTCGACATTTAATCCTTTGAACAAAGAAGGAAACATGTTTCATAAAGTTCCAAAAGAAGGATGTCCAAGACGAAAATGATAAAGCCAGATTTTATCTTTATTGGAAGATTTTTCAGAAAGAAATGACAAAGGTAAACTATTCTTGATATTACTTGTGTTATTTGATGTCTCAAGATAGTATAGTCCATCCTTCTCCTTAGCAAGTCCAATCATCTTCCCCGAACTTTGGGCCTGAAATTCACAATAAGAGGGATAAAAAGTTACTTTGCAATTCATATCTCTGGTAAGTTTTGTATAGATATCAGATTAGTAGACAATCCAGGAACATGAAGAACATTTTTTAGAACAAACGAGAGATTAACTTGAACATCTCCTAATCCTGCCACTGTAGTAAGTGAACCATCTGCAACAACAATTTTCTTATTACTAGGACACAGGTTATATGTACTAAACTTTTGTGAGGAATGTCTCATATGGTCTGTGGCTCCTGAGTCAATGACCTAAGAACTCGTAATAGGCTTAGCCGAGACATTTAATCCATGAGAACCGGAAGCTTTACTTGAACTAGAAACCTTACCCAAAGAACATACCACAGTAGGCTTTTCAAGGATTTTCAATAAGTTTTTTAGTTTTTAATCTCTTCCCTGTCGAACTCTCCTTATTTCTGAGACATCTGTAGTACTCCAATAATTTTCTCACTTGACATTTCCTCAAATTGGGTGGTAGTGATATCTTTCTTTGAAAGGGTTTAACAATGAAGGCCTAAACAGGATTTGGCAATGAAGGCCTAAAATAGAAGTCAGCAATGAAGGTTGAAAATTTTGCTTCCCAAGAAGAGCCTAAAGCTCTAATACCATATGGAAAAACTAAGAAATAAATCAGTGTGAAAACTGAATGTATATTGAAAAACTGTTTATAGAGAATTATACAAGAATCTTAGGTTTATATACAACTAATTATGGGTTAAACTAGGAAACTAAATCTTCCTAAAAAACTAATCCTATAATTGAGGGATTGTCTATCCTAATTTTAGGGATACAAATACTTAATTCGAGAGATACAAATATAAATATACAGATTACAAGATTACAACCAGGTGTAAATAAGTGTTTTCCCACAAATATCATAATATTAACCATCAGCTGCTATTATCATCAGTGACAAAATAATATTAATTATCCAATCATGTTAGCATTCAATTTCAAGAATAATATTCTCCTGATTGCCAGGTTAGAGCTCTGGAAGAAGCTCCTACTGTGCCAATTGATATTTTTATTCCCCAGAAGACAAGAGTGCTGATGATAACTGGCCCTAATACTGGTGGTAAAACTATATGTTTAAAGACAGTTGGATTGGCTGCAATGATGGCAAAATCAGGTTTACATTTTTTTCCTTTTTCTTAATGACTAACTTATGCTCATCAAAAATTAAATGGAGGCATGAAAATTATAAAAATGCTCTATGGTTATGTAGTTATTAGCATATTAGCCTTTTCTCATTCTAAGCTTTTTGCACATACTCCTTATGCAAAAATGTAATTATGTCAAGTAAGTCAAGGGCAGTGAAATGCTTGTGAAGCAAAATATAAAGTACAATAATAATGTTTCAAACTAGATACCAAGTTTTCCAGATTTAACTGAGTCTTCTCTTAAAACTTATGATGAATGTTAATATAATTTTATTGCATATGTTCTAGGATGTATCAAAAATGATCATTGAGCAGTAGTTTCATTTGCTTTACATGTTTTATTGTCTTGGATAAATTATTTTTGTCCTATACTGCATGACCTTCTCCATGTTTCTTTAATAATGCAGGTCTTTATGTTTTATCTTCAGAATCTGCAAAAATTCCTTGGTTTGATAGTGTTTTTGCTGATATTGGTGATGAGCAGTCCTTGTCTCAATCATTGTCTACATTCTCTGGCCACCTGAAACAAATTAGTGTAAGGATGATATACCTTCTATATTTTTTCCTGTTTGTTTGAGATGAGCAAATAAAAATATAAAATAGCCAGGTAGAGCACAACCAATTTCTTGGAGAGTTCAAAATGTCTGGCTTGCTTCAGTGTGAATATTCAGCATTTTGCACCAGCAAAGTGATCTTCATAGACCTCAAGCTGGTTCACATCATTCCTAAGATCGATCACTTGGTGGCTTTGCTTCATTCCTTAATCCTTAAATACTTTGGGATTTTAACTGCCAACTAGGAATTCTTAAGTTTTGGGGATTAAATACTACACACACAGTGCTCTGGCTAAAAATTTCCTGATGCAGTTTAAGTATTTGTGTTGCAGGAAATCCAGTCACAGTCCACAAGTCAATCACTGGTGCTACTAGATGAAGTATGTTTCAATTAGGCATTTGTGATTACTTACCTCAATTAACAGTCTGAGATTGAAGAGAAGAAAAATACTACACAGTTACAAACAAATCTAAAATGGATTTTTCCCCATTCCATATCTGATAGGTTGGTGCAGGAACAAATCCCCTTGAAGGAGCAGCACTTGGAATGTCTCTACTAGAATCTTTTGCTGAAAGTGGCGCATTGTTGACAATGGCTACAACGCATCATGGTGAACTTAAAACTTTGAAATACAGGTATATAGTAGCTATCTTGTTGCATACTTCAGTCTATTGACATTTCTAGTTTGAGATGAAAATAAAATAATGATCATGTTTACGGTTATTATAGTTTAAACTCATTCATATGGAAGATGTGTTGTTAACTATCTTCTGGCTCTTGCATTTATAATAAGGATTTTGCTGCTGCTCCAAATTCTTGATCTTATATTATTCTTAATCTTATATTTTGTTTAGCAGTAATGATACCTTTGAAAATGCTTGTATGGAGTTTGATGAAGAGAATTTGAAGCCAACTTACAAGATTCTCTGGGGAGTACCAGGTATTCAGTCTTGAGTATGTGACAAAGAACAACCAATTGCTTGATTCTTGGACTGTTTTCTGCTAGTTAACGGCGTCTTGGACCAAAAAAGCTTTTTGAAGCCAAGTTTTGCAACTGAGAAACTGCTTGTTATTTGGTGTTTTGAGTAATATCATCATCTTGTTATAACAAGACTAATTGTGACTTAGGCAGTGTAACATTGTCTTAGGTCGTTCAAATGCAATCAATATAGCTGAAAGATTGGGAGTACCCCGTATAGTTGTTGATAATGCTCGCGAGCTATATGGTGCTGCTAGTGCTGAGATTGATGAGGTAACAGATTACACTTAGAATGTACTTGTTATTAGTTAAGCTCTTGTATCTGCTAGTATCAGCTTGTGGACTGAGCAACTATTATTTTCTACTTTGCTTTACTGAAAGTTACTATTATTCAGTTGCACAGTTGTATGAATACGTGTAGTTGAGAACAAGTGTTGAACTCTGGTTCATCCTACATCATCAGTATACCTTATAATATTTGGATCATTTCTTAATGCAGGTAATAATAGATATGGAAATATTCAAGCAAAATTTTCAAGAGCTTATCAATGAGTCTCGGCATTATCTGATGTATGTATCTTTTTCTTAAAGCTGATCACTGGGTGGGAAAGCATGAGCTTCCAATCTAATTTAAATCTTTATGGCCATTGGTTCAAAAGGCTATGCAGATAACTGCTCTTGATCATTAGTCATTACATTAAATTAATTGCTCAGCATCGATATAAGCTATGTTCTGATAACCTAGTCATTTTTTTTTTCATGAGTTTTCTAATGTCTATTTACATATTTATCCTCACTGAATGAGTCTAACGATTCTAAAATAATATAGATAAAAAATCCTAATTTGTCTTTGTAACCTTACGGAATATTGGTTAAAAGAAGCATAATTGCCAAATCCATTTTTTTGTTGAAGCATGTTCATTTCCTTTTTATTCTCCCTACCACTTGCGGACAAACATAATTCATTTTTGCCCCTGCAATGTTCAATTTTTATCTGGAAACTGTCTCAGTGAACTTTGTTTTTTTGGCTGGTCTACTACTGGATGTATATCAGGCTATTTTAGCATAAAATTTCTTATTATTTGGTGAAGGCATTTTGACTGTTCATTATTTAACCAATCTCATTTGAATTTTAAATAACCTTGGAGGATGGATTTTAAAGCAATAATTCTTTTAAGACTAACACATGAATGCAAGTATCAAAAATGAAAATATAGTGATTGTCAGTCCACTTTTTTCTGAATTCAAGGTCTTGTTCTTTACTCCACCTTTTATTACTTGTTTTGACTCGACATTTTACATCCATTTTCTTTCAACGTATAGTAAAATTCTTATTCTGAATATATAATTTAGTAATGTGCTTCCTTTTAGAGGAGGCTGGGATTCAACTCTACGTGTATTTAACCTGGATTGTCTTGTCTGCTATCACTGTTTGACTCAAGATGGAAAATGTTAAGGTCTACTTGCCGTCTTCTATGTGATAGGCCCATAGCCAGGGAATACTGGATTTGAGAAGGGAAAGAAAAAGTTTGTCAATGCAGCATGTATCCAAGTTATGTAAAAGTTGCTTGCTAATCTTTGTAGTTGATAAATACTATAAATAAGGCTGCTGTCGATTAAGGAGTTACAAACATGTATTCCAAGTCTGTGGATGCCCTATCTAGTGTCTGGGTTCTGCTTGTGATTTCAGGCTGTCAAGAGGTCTTCATGAAAGGCTATTGCTCACTAGAAGAAAGCTCAGGGATCTTGGTGCTGATCAAAGATCTAAGAAGATGCAAGAACTATCTGAGGCTGCTGCGGTAGCTCGATCTATCCTCCACAAAAAGGCACGGCAGTTTCGTATGTCCCCAATGGAACAATCTCAACTCAGTAAAGCTAGCAAGCTTACACTAGAAAGTAATTACAAGCATGCTACAGCAGTTGAAACTGAGCAGCAGGCTACCAGTATGAGTTCATCCTCTATTCAAGTTATCAAACAACCAAAATCAGGTATCATTTATAAAGCAGATGAAGTTTTCCTCTGCGAAGTTGGAATAGTTAGCTATTTATCTTTCGAACCCTTTGTGCCAGAATATTGCTCTACTTAGCTTAGTCCGGCGAAAAGGTCATTGAGTTTTTATTAGTAAATCTTTCCTATGGCATTCATGATGCAGAAAAACTTACTGAGCTTCCTGAGGTTGGTGATACAGTGCTTGTTTCATCCCTTGGCAAGAAAGCAACCGTTTTAAGAGTAGACGCATATAAAGAAGAAATAGTAGTTCAAGCCGGAAACATGAAACTTAAGTTAAAATTAATCGATGTTAGGGCATGAATGGTAAGAATAGTATGATTATGGGCACCTTTTTACTTGATGCTGTTTCATTGATATTTAGTATAGCATCCGCACTTGTCTAATCTTTTCTTTCATAATTCTTTATACAATAGTATAGTGCATAGAGAAATCATTTATTGAAGAGAATTGAATGTAAGAATATATCGTTATCAGATTTAGTTTCTTTGTTTTATATGGAATCCCCAAAACAAAGGTGCGTCCTCCAACTATTTGACTCTCCACTAGGTTTGCTCTGTTGCCTATACTGGTCTTGCTTGCATGCTTATTTTCAAATGCAGAAACAATGGCATAGTAAAGTTGCTGAATATAGTGGATGTAAGAGTGACAAAGTATCTCTTGCCTGCAATTGTTGCATGAGGTGGTGTGCATTATGTAGGAAAGTGTTATTCACGCATGGCAACCATTTAGAAATTGGAAGGTGGAATGACATTGAAGATCATCATTGTCCAGCCAGCTTCATGAAAAGAAAGAACCATTTGTAAATATTTGGCTGTAAATATCTTGAAGCTGAATTTTGGAATTTCAAGAAAATTAATCACAAGTTTTTTCAACAACTAAGCAGTCAAGTGAAGACTCTATACCCTATAAAATATCCTTAGCAGCTCAGATCAGCATAGTAAAGAGAGACTCAATCTATTTGTGTGATTAAAATCATTATCTTGAAGCCAAAGAAGCTATCTCTTAGTTGAAGTTTGTTGTTTAGTCTCAATTTGCTTATAGCTTGATTAATTGAAAATGTAAACATTAATACCTTAGCAGTGCAAGAATTGGGTTACTGGTGTATATTTTCTGTTCTTCTAAGAGGTAGATACGGATTTTTACTAGCTTTTGTCTGTAGAAATATTTAAGTTTCCATTGGCAGTAATTGATATTCTTCTCATTGAGCAACTGTGACTTTTGCAGCAGAATGGATTGAAAGAGTTTTAAGTATATTTGTGGCAAAATTATTTGTTCTTAATTTTATTTTGAGAAAATAAAGCTAGATGCACCAGAGTTTGGAAAGATGAAGGCGGGGGGGGTTGGAATTATCAATTATGCTCATTAGTCACGGATGTATAAATGGAAACTCATGATGATCATTGTGGTGTGAATAGATACTTTTTGGAATTATTATGTTAGATATGCAACACTAGGGACCGTTTTAGCGATATCATAGGTAAGATATGGGACAGATAAAATATTTTTTATTTTTATTTTTAAATTTTATATTATATTTATTTTTGTATTTATATTTAATAAATATTTTAAATATATCTTTATTTTCATTTATTAGAGTATTTAATGAATATATATAATTTTCATGCACATAACTTTTTTTTTTAAATAAAGATTAGAATTTTTTTAGTTTGTTTTTTTATTTGTTACTTATATATTTAGGTAAATTTTTTATAAAATATATATTAATATATTTTTCAAATAAATATATTAATTAATTAATCTAAAAATAATAATTTTATATTATTTAATAAAATTTTTATTTATTATTATATTAAAATATATATGTTAAATGGATAGGTGTTATATAAAATTTCATTTTGTTTCAAAACAAAATTTAAAATATCAATATTCAATTATAATGTAATAAAATTAATCTTAATTCGAATAAAAAATCATATTTTTATTTAATATGAGTAAGATTAATATGTCTAATATGATTTTTGACATCATCGGGTTGTTGAACTAAAATTCTATAAAGTAATAATATTAGGAATTAACTTAAATTATAGAAAATTATTTAATGTTAATAAATTAAAGAAAATATTTAATGCAAATGTTAATAATTTTAAAATTTTTAATATAATATTTAAATTATAAATTTATTAATTAATATAATATTTAAAATATTATTTATCCATTTTGTATCATTATTTTAAGCTAATCATATTAAAAGTTAATATTATATTAATTAATAAATTTATAATTCAAATAAGATATTAAAGATTTTTAAATTTATAAATCACATTAAATATTTCATTAAAATTTTTTTATCAATTAACATTTCACTAAAATTTAGTTACTATTAATACCATTAACTTTTTTTTTTAATGGACAACAGAAAGCTGGCACCACAATGTCCGGTAGCTAAGCTTGTGGAGGCTTTAACTCAAGCTCTTATGTCTTCAATTTGCGTCTTCCTAAACAAGCATATGCTCTAACACTTTGTAGTTGGATACTTCCAAAAATTTTTTTTTTTTGGAACTAAAAGAAATTGGTGAGGGACTTCCCGGTATGGACTGCTTGATGGATATTACGGCATATCCTTTTTGTTTGGTTGTGTATAATTTGCAAATTCTTAGCATCACGGACGATTGCTGCCAAAGGAAGTGATATCCATAACATACACAGAAGAAAACAAACCTTTCAATTTTCATTCCTTTTATGGAACAACTTTCCTTCAATACAGCATTATAAGTGAAAAGGCTTAAAACCCATTTCTGATCATAAAACCTGTTCGTTTAACAATGAAAGCTAAAAAGCATGTGCTCCAGTACTTATTTAACAACATTATTTTCCATCTGATGACATGCCATTCAGTTCAACTTGGATTAAACGACGCTGGCATTTCCTATACTCCTACAGGAAATTAGAGGGATTACGGTCGAACTGAATCCTCTAATTCCTCATGCATGTGACCATTGTAATCATCGATAACCCCAGAGGCCCACCCAAATTGAAAGGTAAAATCGAGGAAATACAGCATGAAAGAGAGGGAAATGCAACTGAAAAGCATAGGAAGGGGCCCAAAGATCCAAAAAAAAAGAGGGAAAGAGAAGTAAAAGGCACGAAGTCCTAGAGACCAAAAATAGCTGCCTTTATTCACGGTGGTGGCCACATATTCAGCGGTGAGATGGTGGTAGCGCTGATCCTGGAACATCTTCTTCACAGGCACGTTGATGAGCATGCTTGCATGGCTGTAATACCTGATGGACTGCAAGTTGAGCAAGAAGGCCACCAGGAAGCAAAGCAATATCGAGAAAAACTTGATAGAAAATGCTACGTCGCTTTTGTCTCCAAATATGAACCAAGACGATCTACTACTAGTACCGCTCGTCATCAACACAGCGATGAGGGAACTCAGCATGATAGCCGTCGATGCCAATACAGTCGATGCCATTATGTTGTTTCTCAGCGTTTGCACTGCCAAAATCCCATTTTTGGAAACGTCCTGCACCATAAAAATTAACCATTAATTTTTATATATACATCCATTCCTATGAATACAAGGGTTCAATTAGATTCTATATTCACATAAGAATATGAAATCAGTATTCAAGAAATTAAGAGGGCAAAGAAATGGCCAACCTCCATCATAGCTCGAACCCAGAAGCGGCGGTTGATGGCGTTGACGCCGATGACAGTCTTGGTGGGATTATTTACGATTCGGTAGAGAAGCCATAGATGGTAAGCCATCATTATAAAGATCCCCATTGGGACTAGTACCAAATCCATATATTTTTTCTCGATAGTCATATTGGATTCAAAAAGTAAATTATGCAAGGCTATAGAGAACTCTTAAACCCCAAGGCCTTTGGCTGAGGTGGCTGTTTCTTGTGTTTCTTCAAAGCCGAAATTACGAGTTTTTTGTCTGACGTGTGAACGGAGAGGGAGAAAACACAGACACACACCTGGGGTTGCGGGGTAGGCTTGCATGTATATATGGAAGGAAATGGGAAATAAGGAAATGAAAACTGGGATTTGGCGCATTAAAGTGGGACTCTCACATGTAATGCTGACCCAGCCTCTGGTTTGAGCAATGAGATTGCTTCAGTAGGATACTTAACTCTCAATAAAAATTGTCACAGCTGCCGTTGGCACAAATGCTTAAAGTTTAATATTAAGATACAAAATATTCAAATTTAGATTCTCATTATTCTTTATTGATAGGTGATTTATAAGTTTAAAAAATTTTAAAGGATCTGTAAATCTTCTTGGGAATCAATGATTAACCTAACTTTTAAGATAAAATAATCTTCCCAACTTCTAAATTTTTATTGACCCAAAAAAAAAAAAAATACTATCCCAACACAAAATTACAAGAAAAGATCATCAATGTCCAAAAAATAAAAATTAAGGGGTGATTTTGAAAGAAAAAAAAATTGTTTGAAGATGAGATTATCTTTTGTTGAGAGCTACTTTCTTCTTTTTTGCTTCTTTTCATTTTCAGTTTTCTTTCTTACATTTTTTTGCTTTTTCTTTTAGGTGCGCTCTCTTATCTTCTTTCTTTTTTATTTTTATTTGTGTTTTCAACGTTGATTTGAGCTTTTGTTTTATTTGTATATAAGATTAAAATTAAGTTTGTCAATACTTTTTCAGAATTTTAATAGACATTTCTTGTCATATCAACAATTTCAGCTATTTTGGTATGACAATTGAAGGAAAATCTTAAAATGAAGTTTTTTAAGTAAAATTTACAAAATTATATTATAGACAATTAAATCAAAATTAAAATTAAAATTGATAGATTAAATTCATTACATAAATTAAGTATATAAAATTTGAAAAAAATTTATATATTTTTTAGATAAACATTTTTAATAAAATGTTAACAAAATTTTTATCATTGAATAATTATCGATCAAATTTAAATTATAAATAATTTTTTTATATATTATTGATTTTTACATTGAATTCTATTAATTTATTATTTAAATTTTTTTTATTAAAATTTTTTATTAAATTATATTTAAAAAATAATTTCACTTAAAAAACTTCATGTAAATTTTGTCTTAACAATTGAATAGCATTTGTCATGCTATTGAATGCCATTTGTATATGTAGTTTTGAGATTTTATATTGTAATTGTAAGATTTAATGAATATGTATTTAGATGTAAAAGTAATGATAATGATAAAATATAATAATAAAAAATTATCAATATTACATTAAAATTAAATATAATAAATTTATAATATATGTTTAATATTTATAAAATTAATAAATTATTAAAACTTATTAAAATTATTTATATATTAGATAATAATGTAACCTCAATCACACGACACCGTCACCGGTTTGACAAGGCAATAGCCTACCAAACCCTCCGCGACTTCGCTTTCCAATTCACTTGAAAGCTGAAATTCTAATCCCAAGATAACAAATCAGCGTCTCGCTAGTTAGCTTGCTTGGTTGGGCTCTCGTTGTAGTCGTTTATACAATCACTTTAACTTCGAAAACCTATTTTAATCTTTTGTTACTCTTCTATACCAAGCATTATATGTTGATCCCTTCATTCTAATCACATCAATTAATAGATTATGATATGTAATTTGTTGATATGAAACCATTTTAACTGATTTTTTCATGTTATATTGAAGAGAAAAACATCTAAATTTTAATAAAACAAGTACTATTAGCTCTTTTTATATATACATGCATGGCAAAATATTGATATGTTGATATGAAACCATTTTAACTGATTTTTTCATGTTATATTGAAGAGAAAAACATCTAAATTTTAATAAACAAGTACTATTAGCTCTTTTTATATATACATGCATGGCAAAATATTCGTGATGCCAAAAATACCAAGTACAAGAAAATTTTTTTATTTTTTATTTTTATTTTGAAAGCATGTAAAGAGATAGTTTTTAAACAACACTAATTTGCACTTCTTATTTTTAATTTGCAGCTTAGCTCTTGACCAAATGCTTAGCAAAGGTAGTGGTTACTGATTTAATAGGGATATCAATTTTATCTATATCTAATTAAAAGCTCAAATTTTTTCGAATAAAGATGAAAATGAGTATCACATTATAGATATGAAAATGAGGATGGGTATGATTTTAAATTTTTATTGAGAATGAAGATATAGACAAGTAATATTATACACACCATGTATCCATACTCTACATATATATTTATATATATTTAGTAAATAAATTTTTATTAAATAATATAAATTATTAATTTAGATTATTTAGAATTAATATATTTTTATTAAAAATATATATTAATATATATTTATAAAAATTAACCTAAATATACAAGATAAAAATAAAAATAAAAAATAAATTTTTATTTTTATTTTAAAAAAATAATATATAAGTATCAAGATTACTCATATTCATTAAATATCCATGAGAATAGAGCTTGAGATAAATTTAAAATATCCATTGGTATGGGTATGAAGATAAATATCATATAAAAATAAAAAATAAAAAATAAAAAATACTCTACTCTCCTCGTACCTTATCCGTTAACATCTCTTTGGTTTACAATTTATTTATGCCCACTAGTGACATCCTTTTCCTCCTTTTTCCTAATAATATAACTCACCCATGACTAACATTTTGAACCTACTGATTTAAGAAATTTTTTAAAAATAAAGCTTAATTTAAATATATTAGAATATACAAAACCAACAATAATATAATAGTATTAAAAAATTAAAATTTCATATTCAATCATAATTATTAAAAATTTTATAATTATCATTAATATAATTTTATATTTTAAAAATATTGTACAATAATTTCGTTATTAATAATTTTAAATATAATTTTGTTAATGAACACAATTAAACTATCATTTAACTATTAATTTTTCATTCAATTAAATAAGCGAATCTTCAAAATGTTTATTATTGAAAAAACTATTTATAATATGACTCTGACAATTGACAAAATCAATAGTAATATCAACAACAAAAAAAGTGAATCATTTTTTTTAATTTTATGTAAAACGCATATGATTTCAAAAAAATTTTGTCCCAGGGCTTGAGCTCGCACTGTCCGGCTGAGCCTTAAAAAGTTTCGGCCCTAATCACAAGTGCGCTTACTTAGTGTTGATGTAACTTCTAATTTGATACTAATAAGTAATTAATTCAATCGATTAAAGTTTATTTTTTTTTATGAATAAATTTTGAGTTTAAGTCTTATTGATAATTACTTATTGAGATCATCTTAAATGTACGATCTATAATCACTTATCTTAGACAATCATATATGATATATCTTACTTTAACATAAAAAATTATATAATTTATCTATTCTTGAATTTTTTTTTACCAAAAAAAAAAAGAACTTCTAATTTGGTGTTCAAGGATAAGAAATATAGCTAATGTGACTTGTTACAAAGAGAAAAGTCAAAAGGTGTCTCAGGGAGTATTTTTGGACGTCTTTCAACACTAAATCAGTAAGAGTCGCAAAAGAGAGGGAAGTCAGGGAGAGCAAGAATAGTTAGAGAAGACAGAGCGAGTTAAGTAGTGAATATTTAGTGTGACTTCATCTTTTATATTTTTTAAATGATATTGTGACTGATTGAATTGCTGCATGTTAAGATCAAAGGTGTCGCTGGACACTTAGCATTCATGAATCAGTTTATATTTTATTATTCTTTGCCTCTGCTCAAACCTCTTTCTTTTCCAATTATATCATACTAGCGAGCAATCCCTCTTCGCGCGGGATGTTGTAATTAAATTTATAAATAAAAGTGAAATTTTTAATAAAAGTTGATGAATTAAGATTTATATATATATATATATATATATGTAGAGATAATAAATTTAGAGAAAAAATAACTATTTAAATTTTGAAAAACAATGAGAAAAAGTCATATGCGATACAAACAATACATATATATATATATATGTATGCATATGTATATATATCACTATAAAAAAATAGAAGATTAGTGACAGTTTTATAATGATGTTTCACTTACAAATACCGTTAGTTTTCGTATTTTTATAAAACTTAAGATATTTTTATCAAAACGTCACTAAATATTTAAATAGTGGTGTTTGTACTTATAAACGCCATTAAAAACAAAAATTAACAGTATTTATCGACTAAAATGCTTTGAATAATCTTTTTTAAAAAATGAAAGTAATTATTAAATGTGTTTTTTTACAGAAAATGCTTTTAATAATCCCCTCATAAAAAATGGATAGGGGATCATTAAAGGCATTTTTGCTAGATAATGCTTTGAATAATCCTCTTAAAAAAATAAAACGATTATTGAAGGTATTTTCTGCCTAAAACGCATTCAATAATTTTTCTAAAAAATTGTAAAAGATTATTGAAGGCATTTTTATTTTTGGTCAAATTATTGAAGGCATTTTTGGTAAAAAATGCCTTCAATAAATCATTTTGTCAATAAATCTATCAAAAATGGAGTAACGATATCAATTAAAGTATATTGTTGTTAATCATAAAGTCGTAAGTTCGATTCCTTTCTTCAGTGTTTTTTGGATTTTTCAAGGGATTATTGAAGGCATTTTTAGCCAGAAATGCCTTCAATAATCGCCTCAAAAAACTTAAAAAATATTAAAATAAGATATCAAACCTATAAACTTATAATTAACAATCGTATACTTTAACAAACAACGTTACTCTATTTTTGGTAGATTTATTAACAAGAAGATTTATTGAAGGCGTTTTTGACTAAAAACGCCTTCAATAATCTTCTACAATTTTTTTAGGAAATTATTAAAAGCATTTCTAGCAAAAAACACATTCAATAATCGTTTCTATTTTTTATGAGTAGATTGTTTAAGGTGTTTTTTGCCTGAAACACCTTCAATAATCCCCTATAAAAAATTAGGGGGAATTATTAAAGGCTTTTTTTTTTTGCAAAAAATGCCTTCAATAATAACTTCTAAAAAATTAGAGATTATAAGAGATTATTAAAGGTATTTTGGCCAAAAAATGCCTTCAATAATCTTCTCTAAAAAATTAGAGGAGATTATTAAATGCGTTTTTGGTCAAAAACACATTCATAATCTCTTCATTAAAATTTAAGAAGATTGTTGAAGGTATTTTTTTGTAGAAAATGCTTTCAATAATCCCCGTTTAAAAAATTTAAAA